AGTCATTAATTCTCTCAATCTTAAGGAAAATGACACTGCATATCACATAATATATGAAGATGTACTTTTTCAAATAAAACTTGTGGCAGTTTTACAGAGCTCTTTTATTACTTTATTCCCGATGGTAACAGATCAGCTGTGTGCGTAATCAGTTTACCCTTCCTAAATTAAACTACGCCAAAAGGGTCATCCTATGTGATTTTCTCCTACTGCTATAATTTATCCAATTCCAAGGTCCATTCATTTATACAGTAAAATATCACTTTGTGAACGGCATCTTCCATAATTCTCTCAATAACGCTGCTAACGAGGCATCAGAGCAGTGCCTTTGAAACAACTGGCACACTTAATTGGCTCCATTGTGATTACAAAGCTTGATAAATTGATGCATTTTGGAGAGCGAGCCACAATAACACAATGCAAAGCATCATAAAACAGACAATTGAGTGAGTCAGAAATATTTTATCCCATATAAAATGATTTCAGGCCTCACAAATTATACATCCCTTTTTTAAATATCCTGATCTAACTCTATGATTAGAAACATGTTTGCTTAACTAGCATGGGGTATCAGTATTCAAAACAGATTGAAAAAAAAGGTTTGCAATCGCAATAAATGGCCTGAAATGTTAATATAGTGAAATGCGTTTCTTAAAATCTCTTAAAATAGTCCAATCTTCTATTCATAGTATTAGCGCATTTCTTTCCTAATACTGAGCTTGGCGCCTCGATTATCCTGGAATGATCACCAATCCGATAAAAGATGTCCTGCTTTTACCTCTTCACTTTGACTAAAACAACAGATCACACAGGTAAGAAACTACAAGTACGACGTGTGGGGCTGACAAGAGTTTCAGTTCACTGGTTGAGCTACAGTCAGAGTAGCCAGTGTAGTGTCAAATAAACCTCACTTAAGAGTTCAACAAAGGAAAAGAGAAGAGATAGACAAGTAAAACACTATATCCTATCAAAGGGCTCTACCAAAGGTCTGTAGATACAATTTTATGGAGTCTAAGGTGCTGCTTATGGTGCTACCAGTGAGTACTGTCAGGGGAGGGGGAGGAGGAAACCATACAAATATTTGCTCCAGGACCTAGGATCACCACATTCCACCACTGTTTCAGTTCTGCATTGTTCACAGCAAATTCCAGCCTTGCCACAATGGTCTATTTAATTTCATCAACATTTCCCTTCCCATGAAAGCAATATATACAATAGACTTTTCAAAAGCGACACTGATTGCGAGTACAATTTAACAAGACTAAAAGCCTCTAATAAAGTATGACAGGCATCTAAGAAAATTATTCATAAACCTCAACAAAACAAACTGTCAAAACACACTGCATGTTTGCTTTTGACCACAAAAAATGTATTATTTTAAGCTCCAAACCCTGAATGTTGTTGCTATGCAATCCACTCAGTATCCTTTAGTTCTGACTTTTTTTCTGCTGAACTTATATATACATATATTCTGTGTCTTTCCTTATCAAGTAAAACATCAGTTGCTCAAGAGGTTATTTTTTACTTGGCTTAAAAAAAACTTTCATGTCTAGACTGATGTTTTTTTGTGTTCACAGCAGTATTCCAGGAAGCCAGTGTAACCCTGAAGTTGACAATTTTTTTAAATGTTTGCAGAATTTCCATCGGAATGGACACCGGGTGTAAATGGGTTAAGACCGAGTCATTTCAACTTCCATTAGAACCAAACTATACTAAGCATTATAAGAAACCTCTCTCGTAACTGCAACAAATTCACAAGTTATCAAAAAAAATAAACCATGGTCACAAGTTAATGCCTTTGGAAGCAATACAGCATGTACAGTACATCTGTGACGCACACTGCTCCAAGCTGCAGATACGGACTTATGGGATTTCTCATGTAGCACTTGGGCAAGCATGTGCCTTGGGCAATAGTAGCAGTAGTGCCAATCTTGGGAAATAAGAGGTTCATCTTGACCAGGCAAGGACCATACTCCAGACATTCATTCAAACACTCATTTGATTAACCAGTGATGAACAGACTATTGTCACTAATGAGACCTGCAGTTGTATCAGGTAACTGAACACTGCAGATGAAGCAATCCCTAGTATAGACAAATCTGCTGATTCGCACTTGTCATTTTTTTAGTTCGTAAGCAGATTTCATGATAATTACCACTGGTTACAATCATGCCTGACCATTACATGAATACGGCTTCACCTCCCTCCAAGACATGGAATGGAATAATCATAGCCAGTCTACGATTATTTCAGCTATCACATACAGCAATCACAAACTGATTAAATCAAACTGTGGTGCACACACTTGACAGAAAGCAATTGACCTTTCATTTTTATCAGGCTTAACCTTCAGCTCTTCAAGCATCAACAAAAGATACTGGACTCAATAAGACGACAAGTCTCCCTGGCTACAGCATAATGAGTGCCCATTATAGTAAATGCAGTATTGTTAAGGCTGGGGGTAGCTGCCAAGGTGTACATTGTGCTCAGTACACTTTAATTTGCAAAGCATGGGGGCCAGTCCCCTGCTGTAGTACAAAGTTCTAGCCAATTCTAGCACATACAGAAATTTATATCAGTTTCCTTAAGACTTGCATAATGACTGTCAACACAGTGGCATGCAAGTTTAGGGGCTGTGACGATTAAGTACCTCACAGAAGAAGAAGTCAGCTAAATGGAAAAACCTGTATAATTTAAAATGACCAGGTGCCATAGATAGTGTTTGCTTTACTGTTCTGACCATTCTGAAGCCATTTATTACGGATTCAGACAGAAACAGGATTGTCCAATTCTGGTCCTGGAGGGCCATTCTACCAGCAGTTAAATTGGTCTAGTTAAGCCAGTAACCAGCTTGTTTACCTCATTAAGAGCTGAGTTGGAATGAAAAGCTGTAGACACACTGTCCCTCTGGGACCATGATTGGACATTCTTGTACTAAAATACTGTCCTGTATGTGTCTGACATGCTTGTCATGTGTTTATTAAGCAATGCAAGTATAAAAGCCCGGAAAAAAACATCTATTCACTCCCTTTATATTTATTGCTTTATGAAGACAAATATACCAGAAACTGAACAATCTGACTTTCAAGTTAAAGTCTCAAAGTGTGTTACACAAGGTCTGACATAAAGCTCTCTGTGTTACTGTGTCCATTCAGTCAGCTGGGTCAACCTTCACTGAATAATACATTCAAACTCACAAATACCTGTGTGTTGTTATAAGATTGGGCCGCTGAGCCTTGTGCAGATCATCATAAAACTGCACATACTTTTGGTATAGATATGGAAAATAGTTCTTCCGACAGCTGTAACAAGGGAAATAATTTAAAGGTTTCCAAGTCCTTCCCCATGCTAGACGGCAGTATAATTTACTTTCAACTCTTCCACGTTGTCTTTAGGCCTTCACATTTGGCCTTTCTCTTGTCTCCCTCTTTAAGGCTAACCCAAGACATGACACCACTTCAGTCAGCCCGGATGTAAGATAATATTTATATTTAGGGAACAATTTCTATTTTTAACAACCTCCTGAAGTCACTTCCACTTCCCAGGGTCAAATATAACAGATTGCTAGCGTTGGTAATTGGATTACTTTTTAGACGCACAATTATGGATGAGGTTTCTCCCTTACACAGAACAATAGCAATTAGACAATTGAGTTGAGAGCCTGATTGTTTAGTATAATGCTTCTACTTTTAATCAAAAATAGTAAAAAGTAGGCTAAATAAAATACTAAACTCTTTTGTAATGTCATAATAAGGGGAATTATTTTGTTCTCAAAGAAGATGTTTACTAATCTTCAGTGCATTTTAAAAGCATATGATCCTGATTTATGGTTGTAACTCATACAACTCATCTCTAAACTGACTGTAAGAGTCCAGCTGTGCCTCGAGATCAATGTGTTTCCATGACTAATGTTAAAAGTGTAAAAATTCACAAAGAGTTATCTGCAGAATCCATTTAATAAGGCAACCAGAATCAGGAATTTGAGAATTTTAAGAATAAAACTTCATATTATTTGTTCTCCTGATTTAATGAGAGCTTGTTTGCACCAAAACACTTAAAACGTTGGACAGTAATATTGTCCAGTATTATCTCAGTATTTTTTTAAGTAGGGATGACAATGTGTTGACAGTTTTCCTGTTGCACTCATAAAGTAAAATTCTAAGGATTTCAAGAAATATGAAAACCATAAAGTTGAACAGTCAATACCAAGTTTTTTTATTTAAAAATATTTCTTGAACTCTGTTCCTTTTCTAGGACTCCGTGTAACATTAATAAAATGACTGACACATCTTTCCTCGTGACTGACAAAGAAATCAAGTGTATTTAGGCATAATGCGAGTGCATTTAGTCAGATACACCATTTATTGGTCCACTGCTTGTTAGTGACAGTGCTGAATCTACCATCAATGCACACACAGCACAGCAAAACCACTGCACAGCACTTCTGTGCTTTTGGCTGTCCTGCATAATGGAGACCAAGAATCTGACTCCCAAAGCTTGGCTTAACCCTAGAAGGCTGTACGTTCTTTTCCTGCAAAACCTTACAGCCAGTAAACCTTCTATTGGCCAAATTTTGGACCATTAAATGTCACATTAGCATAAACGTAAAAAGGTTGTACCTTCATTAAACCTTCTACAAAACTACTTAATTGAAATTGTTATTTTGCAACAGGGCTAACGATATTTTGTTCCCCATATTTCCAATTTGTCCTGTATATAAACCAACAGTTCTTTCCAATAAGACTGTTTGACACTTTGGTTACATTTCAACCAGGCATACTCAAGGAAAAGCATTCAATCCTAAATGCCATTAATAAAGTATTCTGACCAACCCCTTTAAGATCAGAAACTAGTTCTTGCACTAGAAGGATGGACCCGTGATAAATTGTTTTTGTACACTTTAGTTTAAGGAACGGTACTAAGCTTTGACTACAAAAAAAAATGCTTTTACACCACCAATTTAACTCTGAAAAGGCAATTCTGCGTGTTTGTCTACTTACCAATTACTGCTGATGTTCAAGCTGTTAGAAGTACTGAAAGCCTATCCCCCGGGCTTTATGTCCTGTTAAGAACAAATACACTATGACACTAGATGAAAGCAGCTTCTCACACTAAATACCTTACCTAATTAAGAGAAAGCTGCACATTTTCCATCACATTCTATGGTTCTGATTTAAACAGCATAGCAGGCACTTTTAGGGTTCTAAGAGCATAAGTGAAAAAAGTGATGTGCAGTATTTGAAACCTCTAAAATAACTATTTAATCCATAATACATTCATATCAATGAGTATCTGTTGGGAAACCGATTCCCTTAAATTTCCAGTGACATTTTAGTTTAAGGAAATTAAGCATATTTTATAAACAAAAATGTGCGTGTAGAGGCATATCCATGAGCCAGTCTACATTGCAAGACAGACTGGCTAAACTGCGGATATATCTGAATATTAATCAAATATAACTATTTTTTGCATGTGTATAAAGGATACTTATTTAACCTAACCGTATAAGGATTAGTGTATTGATTACATCAGTAGTACTTATTACACTTGAAGAGGAATAATGTCATTTTAATTGAATTTTACATTTAATGCTCAATCCTTTTATGTACAGGTATATGATTATTGTACCTGTTAAACCAAAAAAAGCAACGCTATTGGGTTCGGGTAACAAAGGTAAATGTTTTTTTTTTTTGCAGTTTAAGTAGCAATGAGCAGGAAAAATACATTAAATACTGAGTTAACCGAGTACGATTACTTATTTATTACTATTTTAATCATTTGCAACTGCAGTGTATTCAATAAATACATGCATATAACGTAGTTCCTCTGTGCTTTAAGACAGACCTAATTTCTTTAAAAAAAACTACAGCTACTTAGACCTGCTTTCTACACAAAGCAATCTGAAACCAGCCGAGTTGAGTTCGCGATTCTATTTAAAAACGGAAACACAACGCCAGGTTTTATTATTTGCCATTTTCAGCAGTACATTCCCTTCCAGAAACAGTTGGGACAGTTGAGAACTACGTTAAGTTACAAAATACGAAGTACTCAATTCGTAAATTTTAACCGAGTGAGACTGCGTGTGACTCTTGTTTGATAAACCTACCAAGACCCGACATCAAACACTGTATGCGTTTTAATTCACAAGATGAAAGGCCCTTCTCTAAATGAAAGCACTGCAGATCTACTTTGTAACTTCAGAAAGTTGCCTGTTCGTAAATGTACAGTTGCTCGTGTTAATCCACAGGCGCAAGACTGCGTGTTACAAGTAGCACTTCACAGTTGCCTGTCAGACTGTACTTAACAAACAAGACTTTACTTACCTACAGCGGAAGAGAAGCGGTTTTTATTTTACGAAAAGATATTAAACTCCGTCTTGTTCTTGTTTCATGCGGTGGTTTCCAGAAATCACGTACGACTCCTTAGCATTTAGCCTCTATACAGTCTGCCGTGCTAGGCTGCAGACCCCCCCCCGCCTCCCGTTTGACTTGTCTCCGGATTACGTGGCAGCAGAGCAGTCAGTCTCAACCCGTATAGAGGGGAGGCCGAGAAAGGCACCGGAATAGCGCAGTCTACCGGACAGGAGCGGAGTAGCGCAGGCACTGCCGCAACCCGAATGAAATGCTTCCTGTCTTACCTAGGCAGGACGCTTGCGTAAATGCGCAACAAGTTGTTAAAAGTATTTATGGAATATCTACATATGCACTTATTGACTTTGCAATATCCACAAGCAAGAGTCTGATTACTGTATGTTTTGCACATGTATTTCAATGAAATTAAATGCAGGCAGAGGTGACGTTTGTGCTTTTATTAAGTTATATTTGCCAAACATTCCATTTGAAAATAAACTTAATACAATACGGCACTCCATGTTTACCATAAATATTGATGAAATCCTTAATAATATCATGCTGGTTTACATAATGAAGATGAGATATTCATGCATTGACGGGTATGTAAAATGTATTTTACATATATAACGGTTATACAGTATGTTATATAGATATCACAGTTATCTGCCTTGTACAATATGTAATTCAAATTAATTCAGTTGATGAATGCGAAGTTTACAGCTTGACAGAACCAGACGAAGAAAAGATACAATGTAAGTACAGTGTTTATTGGTGTGCAAAACTGAAAGACATCTGTAGTGCAGAGCACTGCAGGTAACTATCCAAACTAAGGACTTCAAATCTGGGAAGGAAAGGGATACAGCAACGGGTAGCAAATAACTGGATCATTTCAAAAACAGATTAGTCTATTTCCGAGCAGTTCCACTGTTCTTGATCGTTCTGGGTTCTCAGGACATAGCCTCTTATATTTGACTGCACGATTTTTATAACAGCGATAAACTGCCAAGAAAAAAAAGAAAAAAGTATAGTAACATGCTGCATTCATGTATTGAATTAGCTGCATACATTTTCATGTAGTTTTTAAAATACATTTTCGGTAGAAAACGCGCTATGCAAGTATTTATTACAGAGCTAAGTTAATCTATAGTTAAAAGTGACAAAGATATCACACTTTAACTGCAGGAAGAGACTTTAAATAAAGAAATGTTTGCATGCATATTTTACAATCACTGAATAAACATGGTTTTGGAGGAAGAAAATCACAGGGAATTAAATCTGATTTTGATATGCAGAAGACTTAGATTAAATGGCTTTTAGTGAATATTCGCTATGAAAAGAGGATCATTCAGCCTGGCATTTATGTAGCATACAAAATGAAATGCCAGTTTGCAGATCATCTTCCATAATCATTTATCTGCTGCATTTCTTCTAAATTTTTAGCAATGGTAACGTCTTCCTGGATTCTTGTGAAGCCACTCAAGCTAAATTTGAATCTCCTGATCACTTTTTCGCGATCATTTTAAAGCACTTATTTCTAAATAACTTTACTGGAATAGATAGAAAGCACTTGCAAATCTTTGCAAAAAAATATCTAACTTTCTCTTTCATGTGAATTCTGGTGGGAATTGATGGATGGGGATAGCCTTTCAACTAGACACGACAACGTCTATTGAATCACTTTGACCATATTTAATTGGAGGATTAAATGTGCATTACACCTACATAATTAATATTGTTTTGCTGAATGTGGAGATAGTGTCATAAAGATGAACCATTTTTTGCATTAGTTTTTATTAGCCAGATGGGGTCAAGGCAATGCAAAGGTATAGTAACTGAATCACACCAATACCCATGTGGGTCTCTGTTGTGTTGTGTTTCTTTGTCCATTGCGGCAGCAGGTTTTAAAACCAAAAATACATGATTTTTGCAGGAAGATTTTGCTACAGATTATTTTCAGCCATCATTAACCTATATGCATTTTGTAATACTACCAAAGCTCCAGGTGGTATTTTTTGTCATGCTGTCTATTTGTTTTTCATGGGGTTGTACCTTCTAACAAACACTGCCTTTAATTTTTTTTTTTCCCCTCGTGCATTCAATTTAACCAGCAGCAGAAAAGGCAATTAAAATTCAGGAGGTCCACAATACTGCAGGAGATCACAAAATCCTTTCAATACATCCAAGTCAATAGAACAATTGCAGAAATTGGTTCTCTATGTTGCATCTCAGAAGTTTTGTCAGAACAAATGCAATAAGAAATGAAGTTGGAGGTTGTATGCACTAGCGTAAACAATTTTTAAAATAACTTGATTGCTTTCAACCTTAGTAGTGTCTCCATGTTAAGAGACTGAGATTGATGAATTCTGGAATTAATCAAAACAATGATGAGTGATGCCCTCTACACTTTCCATTGTTTTTCTTAAGTCTTTTTTTTTAAAGAAAAAGTAAACTAACTGAAAAACCTAAAACAGTTGTAATGTTACACTTTGTCCAACTAATGCTTGAATTGCCTCTATGATACAATAACTCATGCTTGGGCGGAGCAGTGGCACTGTGGCTAAGGATTTGCGCCTGTGGCTGGAAAGTTGCTGGTTCAAATCAAGCGGCTGGCAGAGGAATCCTACTCCGGTGGGCCCGAGCGAGGCAGTTAACCCCAACTGCTCTAAGGGTGCTGTATAAATGGCTGACCCTGCACTCTCACTCCAAGCTTCTCTTTCCCTGTCTGTGTGTCTCATGGAGAGCAAGCTGGGGTATGCAAAGATACATTTCTAATATAAGAAATTGTATATGGCTAATAAAGTGATCTTATCTTACGCTTCCTAACTATTTAACAGGACGTTTCATTTGTAGATAACATATCTTTAAATAAGAGACTGTTAAACTCATTCCCAGAAACAAAACCAAAATCAAAGTGTATAACAGAAATCCCAGATAAGATTCTCTTTAACCCAAAGAGACTTAAGATGACACTTGTGCATTCAGAAAGCTTTACTTTGCATTGTGTGGTTATTTCTGTACTAATCTAGTTAAAAAACTTTTAACTTTTAACTTTTTTTTGGTATTATTTCAAACCACAAAGCACAGACATACCTTGCACACAATGGATGGAACCACTGAAGAGCACTAAGAATCATTTATGTGTTTGTACTTTACATATCTGGACAGTTTTATTTGGAAGTTAGTTTTGATAAGGTATGTTATGCATTTATAGCATAAAAAATGCCATAGTAACTTAAAACATGGCCAGATACCGCATTTCACAATCGAGAAGAATTTTAAACAAATGGAAAATATAGTGCCCTGACTTCATGGTAGATGAGAGATTTATGCAAAATAAGTCACAGTATGGTACAAATACTGTCAGCAGTCCACTTAAATTTTAAAGCTAAAACTACAAAATGGTTCAAACAAATTACATTTTATCGCAAAAGTCACCCCCCCATTTAACAAATTTATGTAAAACACAACTACAAGATTTGAATAATTTATATTAATTTAGCAAGTGATAACTTTTCAGTTGTTCTGCAATGTTAAGATCTAGGAGGATAGTGGTCAAGGTTATCTTGAAGTATTGAAAGATTCCAACATTCACATTGCTCGCAATGCATTTAAAATGAATTCCGGTTAAACAAATGCCATTTTCTGTTCTGCCTTTCTGATCAAAGGTTTCTTGACTCAGCTCCCAGACGAATGAAATCTTTAATTATGCAGCTCATTCTTGCAAACACCGCAATGTATTTTGAAGTACAGAAGTTGAAGTCCATTCAATCCAGTATCGGAAAGATGCTTATTCCTGGTAATATCTTGGAACCTGCAGCTTGTTTTGAAAGCATAGGTGTGCAAGGTAACTACAATAAATGGAGATAACTCCATTAAAAAAAAAGAAAGTCAAGGTGAAGAACGTGATGTTCTCTGAAAGTTTGTTGGGTGAATTTTCTCACTTTTCAAGTGGACAAAAAAAAACTGAGGGTGAAACTGAACCAATATGGCTTTTGCTGCTTTTACAGCTTACCGTTAAGTGAACAAGTTCCATAATTATCGATAGTTTCTTGCTTAAAAAAAACACATTAAATATAGTTATCTTAATAAATAGCATAATACAATCCTATTTGTCTTAATTTAAATCCAGAAAACACAAGAGTATTTAAACCCCAGTTTAGGGTATTGCGTAAACCCTCTTGTGGCAGGAATTAAAATGACTAGACACCCCCTGAAGTGTGCAATGCAGTTTTGGCTCTTCAGAGGAGAAATTTAAGAACATTCCTCCATGTAGAAGTTGCTCAATCCCTTTAGTTTGTAAGGCAGCTATGCCAATTTGCTTTAGAACAAAAATGTTTAAAAGGACTGAGGTCTAGAGATCGTGATGGCCAGTCCAGAACATTAGATTTTGTGCACAGTTAACCATTACTTTGTCAATTTAAAATGTTTGGGATCACCTTCATGCTCAAGTGTCAATTTTCTGTCAAGTTTGAGCTTCTTGGCTATACGAATCAGGTGACAGGGCAAAATGTGTTGGTACAAAACTTTGAAGGGCCCAAAGCAGGGAAACGGGTAATGATTTGGAAGCCCTGTATAATTGCACTTTCAAAAGAGAAACATATGGCATAAGGAATACAAGTGACACTTTCTGCAATTCAATTAATTTGATAAACAGGCCTTTAAACTGTGCGATACTGCTAGGATTGCAGAATGTAAGGGAGACATTATCCAGCCTACATTTCATGACATAAGTGCATGGAATAAACATGGAGGGTACTGTACAATGACAACCTGGATACCCATTTATACAAACATTTCTTTACTTAATCAATTTGAGCGAAGTACCTTATTCAATGGTGAAACTAGTTTTCCAACCCACAGATCTCAAACTGGGAGTCCACTACCCCCCAAAATGCCAGGAATCCTTTAATAATGCTTTACAACTATAGCAAATTTATTCTCAAAACAACCTTCCTGACATTACATAGCCTTTGAGTAAAAATAAGGTTTGCTCTTAAACCCTACATTTATTGCTACACCAAGAAAAAAATTCCAATCCTGGGATCTCAAAACATCTTGTTTTGGGATAGCATTTCACATACAAGTCAGGAGTTGAAACTAACAACTGCTGATTATTCTTGTGTACGAAATTACTGCAAATGTGCCTGTGTCTGCCTTGTACTCTGTGTATGTCTCTGAAATGGACATTGCAAAATGTTCTTAAATTTGAAAGAGCAGCCACACAGTGTTTTTAAGGCACTTTAATCAGAGAAACATTTTACAAATACAGTTAATCTAATTACTGTTAGTCACATTTAAATTAGATATACATAATGGTCTAATTCACAAAATTCAAATAAGTTACAAGACAAACACTAAAAATAGAAATTAAATACTCAGTGTTGGGTTCGCTTTTCTCTCAATTTCTGCAGAGTTTTCTGTGGAGAAAGGTATGATGTTAAATTTTACCCAACATTCATGAACAATTACAAGTTTAGGAAAGTTATTTAAATGAAGATCTTAAAACATTTACCATAAGCAAAAACAGCATTCACTTTGAATCACCATACTACAAGATTGACTAAATTCAGTGTCTGAAGCAACTTTGAATACCATACAGCTAAAAGAACAACAAATTCAATACATTGCCATAACAGCTAGTTGTATAGAATTTGGTAGAAGAAAAAGCAAGCAGATTTATCTACAAGGTCTGAAGTAAAACCTCACAATAACATTAAGGAACCAAAAAAAGGTTCCTAGATAATTTGTTCATACTCCACCCCCCACCCCCCAGAGAGGTTTAAAGCAAAATACATTTTTTCCATCTGCACAAGGATCAGAGTTACAGTGGTAACTGATATAGTTTCTCGTCTCTAAAATTCAATTGTTAAATCTTTATTGAACTGTCATGTTTGGCACCACTACTGCTGGTCAGTCTGAAGCAGAAGTTAAGAAATAGTACATCCATTCCTAATCAAAAACTCCAATCCCACTTTCTAAAGCAAACTGTCTGACATGCTTCACCCTCTATTAGGCCAGAGGGCAGCAAGATGTATGAAGTGGGGGATACCAAAGGATAACAGTTCATTTGACCAAATTTTAAAAGTTAACCTCACAGCAGAGCAATGCAAGGCAGCTCCCTTAAATAGGCCCAATGTACATTGTTGTTACATATTGTAAATAAGCCTTTCTTTACCAAGTTAAACAAAAAAGGAAAAATGTAATATTTTTCATACATTGCATGAATGGACTGTGGTGGTACTGTACACCCTTAGGATTTAACAGCTGACGGTAATAGCATAGAATGCTCCACCTCTAAACACCTACCTGCTGAAACTGTTTCGCCTTTTCCCGATTTTGTGCATAGGCTTCTCGTCTCATCTTAATTTCCTTCTGCTGCTTCACCTCTTCAAGTTGGTTATATAACCTATAAAGACATCAGACCAGTTATTGTTCTCCACAGCAGTAGTTAAATTTCACAGATCACCGCTCTCTTGACAACACTTTTATTTGAACTGCCAGTATGGAGTCACAAACATTTAAAACACTTCATCTACAGCCCTGTTTGATCTAACGTATTACAAAGAAAGGTTTGGATCAGATTCGGAAAAACATCATGTACTTCAATCAGGAAAACAGGAGTGGAAGTTTTGGATTTAAAATTCAGAACGGAGGCAGACGTGGATTATTTGTAGATGCAACTTAAATGGCAGTCTGTACAAAAGAGAATTGACAAATGTTCAACTTAACTTGTTCTTACACCCTCTTCTGACTCTTGAAGCAAATATGGGCTCATTATTTAATTTTCAAGGGGAAAGACAGCAAGAGGATGCTTTAATAAATGCCACAGCTACAGAGTGCTAGTCCCACAACAGCTCTTGTAAACATGAATGGCAGTTTTGAGGGCACAGCCAAATTGCCCTGCTTGGTTTATGGTTTAAAACCAATGCATCTGGCAGATATTCTCTCATAAATTAAACTTTTAAACCAATTTATACAAACTACAGCAGCCCAAGACACTCACTTAATTTTATTAAAATACAGAATTAGGTTTGAGTGGCTAGATAGTACACAAAACATTTGCACATGCCCGTGGCTGTACACAGAACCAAAATTATGAATGTCTGTAATAGTTCAGCTTTTGACCAGCAAAACTAAGTAGGAACTATGAAAGTACCCCTATTACCCATTGTAAATTGAGAAATTATTAATGAAAGACAGACCATAACATAGGTTAGAGATTACCTAGTAAGTCGCTGTGGAAATAGTCAAAAGTGTACAGGATCTACCCACCTCTCTGTTCTTTGGTACATCGCCATTTCGGAGAACTTTCTCTGTTCAGGAGTGCAGACCTTCACTTCACCCACCCTCTTTAATTCGCACATGCCTGCTGACATCACATCAAAAACAAGCAGGACAGAAAATATGAAGGAAAAAAAACAAATGATGCATATGAAATTGGTCAATATGTGAGCCAAGAGCCAAAAATCAAGCCGAGTTTAGTTCCCAAATAACATTATCATCTTGAAAAATGTGTGACTTTAAAAGAGCCTGGTTTTAGGAAATCACACTTTTTTTTACAATCTAGAAAAAATAATACGTAAATAGAATTAGTGGTGTGAAAGTAACTTTGGAGTCTGGTTGTAGAAATACAAAATGGAACAAAAAGCACAGAAGTTGCATACCAGAGGGTAAAATTTGTGCTTTGCAGTTCATTTTCTGGCTCTGTGCAAGAGATTCAAGAGGTTTTACAGTCAGCATCATTCTTGATTGGAGTCTCCTAGTTTTAATCTCTTGTACCCTTTCAGCAGACTTCTCAATTAAATTCTTCTTTTTCTGAAGGAAGAGTTCCTGTAAACTACCAGATGAGGAATGCAACTCCAGGAACATCACTGCTTTAAAGATGCATATAGGGGAAAAAAAAAAAAAGTCAAATTTAATGACAAGAGAAAAATTAACTGTAGAAGCTTCAGCTGTGGTTCTTAAATATATTCACTTCACTATCCAGTGACTTTTGGAGGACACTATGAAGTCTAAACTGGAATTTTTATTTTACACTTGAATCACTTTTCCTAAAAACCATGACTGAATTACAGAGCCTAAGTATTTTATTTGTAAAAAAATGTATACTAAAAATACCACCTTCACAAGACGATGAATTATCTCTTGAGCTCCTTAATCCTTCAGAAGTATTAAACATCGCAGGTAGAGAACCATTCCCATCCACTGAAGACTTAGATGTGCAGCTCTGAAAAATAAGATTTAAACCTGAAATAGAGCAGTCAAATACAGAAAAAAAAAACATCCGCTTTTCTTTGCGATTAATTTTCCCCTAGCCTTAATTTGAAATTAAAAGCACAATGATTCAATATTTACACTATGACTCAATTTCCTTATACCTAGCTGCCCTAAAAACTAAACATCTCCTAATACGAACAAAAAACATCTTGAAATGCTATTACAGGAAGTATTCTAGTTAATGTTTTAAGTCTATGATATAGCTAGTGGTAGGTAAAATGAATTAAAAAAGGCTCATAAAAGAACCTGCAGCTCTGCAGAAGACGCTTTCATAGAGAATCAATACTCACCTTGGTGATATTTTCCAATTCAGGGCTCTTGCTCAAATAAGGCTTTTCACTTTTGTCCCCTGTGGTTTCTTCCATATTATTACTGGTTAGCTCCTCTTCTTGCAGAGTTGTTTCATTTAGACTCATTAGAGTCAGTTCAGGTTCCTCCATGATTCCTCTCCCAAAGTCTGTCTCCTGAATGACAAAGTGTAAAAAACAATATCAATGGAGGAATCAATAATGTGCGACAGTGAATTAAACTAGGATGCTTCAGTAAGCAAATACTATCTGCAGACGATTCCTAGTGCAGTGGTAAGAGACACAGGATTCAGGTTTTTAATGTGACGGAACTGCTATCAAATACAGGGGATTCCCCGATGAGTCTCATCTAACAGGCAAATGAACGTAAATGTTTTAAAATGCAGTAGTGGTGTAAAAAGTGCTGTGGGCTTAGTGTTATCGTTTAACCGGATACATTTTATTTAAAGTAAAGTAGTGATATAAAAACTGCATTAGAGTTCAATTAACCTTTCATATTTAAAGAGCCAACATTTCTTCCCACTGCTAGTGGGATTATGTTTATATAAATGCAGTGTCCCGTCGGACATGGAACATTTAATTCAGGTTCAAGTCACACACAAAAACTGAATTAGATAAAAGCTCAGCTAATAACATTTATGCAAGAAAACCTCTTTTCAACCTCAACAATATATAGTACTTCACAATCAAGATGAAACGTTGGAGCTTTGTTTTAAACCTCCATGCTGTGCTACCAAGTGTGTAACCAAGGAGGCACTGAGTATTGCTTAAGTTGTATTGCTTAACGTGTCAATTACTATACATGTCCCCCAGACACCTGAAACACTCACAATACCATTACATGCCTTCATAATTTGGTATAAACAGCTGAAGAACAAAGATCTTGCCTACAATTCAACCACTATAAAAATCACATTCAATAGAGTCAGGTGATAATAATACAGATATCACAAAGTCAACTGCAGTATTATTGTATAAATCCTAATAACACTATCCATTTTATAATTGAGACAATATAGAGCAAATGCTGAAAAATGTTTTTTCTATAGATGGTTGTTTTTCAAGCGTTTTTACTCTGAAGCAGGTATTGTCGGCTGAAATGCTAGAACTTTTCTGCACATGCATAAGAACCAATATGGTCATCTCTTTCTATGAGTATCATGATAAAAGTGCAAGTGGCACAGTGGTGCAGTAGTTTACATTGCTGCCTTGTAGCACTTCAGTTCTGGACTTGGGCTGCTATCTGTGTGGAGTTTGTATGTCCTCCCCATATTTTCATGTGGGTTTCCTCCCACAGTCCAAAGACATACTGGTGGATGGTCAATAGCCTCCTGGGAAAATTGGCCCTGGTGTGACCCTGTGTGTGCCCTGCGATGGACTAGCATCACATCCAGGGTAAATTCTGCCTTGCCCCCATTACTTGCCAAGAAATGCTCTGGTTCCCCTGTGACCCTAATTTCCATGAAGCAGTTAGAAAATGGATGAATGGATGATAAAAGTACTTTTATCCCCCGTGACAGGCTGCATACATGGTACAAGTATGTTAAGTATTAAACACGCAAAACCATTTACAAGAATAAACCAACTTTGAACACTACAATGGAAAATGGAATTTTCCCCCACATAGTGTTAAATGATTTTGACTGCAATGGAAAAAAAAACAGCTCAAACTGAATGGCCAAAGCTGGTAAATACATCATTATTGTCAAGTAACATTAATGGTCTCCACAATGACTTATGCATCTAATTAAATTAGACGACAATTTTTCTTAATGAACTAAAATTAATTTCACTTGTCACCAGCACGGTTATGGCTGTTAATTACCGACAAGAATTCGCTAAACCTAAAAAAACATGATAAACATGAAAATTTACAACAGCAGAGAATCAAACAATTTGTCAAAATCATGAATGTGCAGATATGAATTCCCAAAGGACAAACTTCAGTTGCACATTTATTCCACACAAAAAAATCTGTAACGAAGTAGCATTTGCTTGAAACTTTTCAGTCATGTAATGTAAGGCACTTTCTAAAGGCCTAGTAAAACAAGGCAGTCTGTAAGTCACTTTTGCCCACTGCAACTGTATCTTGTACAGATTTCTCTGTGAGACACCACTAGAGCTAGTCGAGGCTCTAGCAACAACTGATTTGTTAGAGCAGATAGATTCCAATCACCACACAGATGCATTACATGACTCCACTTAGGATTCTGTGAGGAAGACCACAGCTACATGGACTCTAGAGAAGTTATAATGATAAAGGTTAGCGGTAAGTCAAATGCTTTCTGATTTTATAGTGAATTTTAGTAGCAGTAATCAATATATAACTACTTATATAAACCTCTCACCAGAGAACGATCACACATACCAATTTATATACCTGCCTACTTTATTAATATCATTGTGAAGATGGAAAAGGAAACTGCTTTTCCTCTGGCACTTTTAAATGTTCACATGTAGTTCTCAAAGTGATTAACTGTAGTTCAAACTAGCAGCAGTTTCTATTGCATATGAATCAGATTGTTGCATGGTGTAATAATTGAAAATCTGTGACAATACCATAAATATATTTCTACAATTTCTGTTGCCAGTGTTTCGACTCATGTGAATAGCAGAGTACATTCAGATTACTGTAAAAGTTATCAACCATCTCTTCAGAAATGGTCTCAACAGATGAGACTTATTCTCACAGGGTATACTCTCCTTATGTACCATCTTACCCAGAAAGGAAGGCTAAAGTTTGTACAGCCTTCGCCCATTAATGTTATAGGTTGGTGATCCAAATGCTCCATTTTCAGCACATCTTGATGGTCATCATATACCAGCCCCGAGTTTGCAGACTGTCTCTCTTTAGAGGATTCCTCCTCTGTGGTCTTATTGTCCATTACTTTCTTTGGAGAGTGTTGTGTGTCATTGAGAGACAGGTGGCACATGCTGTATTCTAAAACGTCAGTCTCTGCAGTAACAGGAGGCTCTGTCAAGACTGGGTCCATCATACTCTCTGTAGTTGAAAGTTGGTAGAATGATTCTTGCAACTCCAGCTGTATTTGTGCAGTTTCTAAACTTTGCTGCCTGAAGCATTCCAGCGATTCCTCAGAAATCCTTGAGAAGTCAGTGTCTTGCTGCAATGTGAGCTCAGAAGTGAGCTCATTTTCACCTGTACCTTCTTTTGCATGGGATTGGCTCACATCTGAAAAATGGCCCTGGCTTTCTTGCAAGCCTTGCTCTGAGAATCTCATTTCCGTTTCATGAAAGGCGACAGAGTTCTCGGCGTTCTCGTTTAAGGAAACTTCTGGATGAAGAGGATGGAAGGACTCTGAAGTTTGGTCCACTAAAATAAATGAAGCACATTAATTGTTAATGCAAATTACATGCAAGCGTATTTTCTAAACGATTATGCAGGATAAGCATAGTCTACAATTACATATAAACACAGATTTTCAGGGTACGTTACCTTATAACAATAGACATCTTTCAGTGATCTTACTCAACCGCATGGAAACATACACTGTGCAGCAAAACTAGATATAAACGAAACCCCATAAATAGAAAGTCGTATTTAAAAGTACCAAAAATACTTTGCTCTTGAGAGGCTGTCACCATTGAGGAGTCTCTTAAATCATGAGGGACCTCCTGGAATGATTCCTGGATGTGCTGCTCTGGAGCCAGGTTCATTGAAGAGTCCAGCACACACTTGCCCAAACCCTAAACACAACAGAACATTGCTAAAATCATGCTAAAAAATACAAATTCATGTTTTACACCAATTATACTTTACCGTACTTTGGATTTTTTAATTATAGCTTTACCTCACTTTAATTTTTTGTCTAAACAGGTCCTCAGAAATCAGCACATTGTGTGTACTACCATGTAACTATGTATATTAATTCAATAATGACAGTTTATGAAGAATGCTTCATACATACCTGATGAGACCCATTTATTCAAAAAAGCCTGAAGGTATTTGATATGCTTTTCACCGGCATCATAAATTAGCTAAAATGTCAATATTCTAATATATATATATATGTAACATTCTGTACTAAACCATGAACCATGGCATACCAGAGAAGGTTCAGCTCTGGGCGTCTCAGCGAGTTTTTCCTGTGGTCCACATAAAGAGCTTGAAGCCTCTGACCCTGGTTGAGCCTGGTGCTGCTGGCTTGAGGTTGTAGGAGACAGCCATGGCAAGAGACAAATGGCTACATCGCCTAATGAAGAAAATCATCATGGGGGTGGAAACAGTGACACATTTCATGGCCACAAATTCTAAAAACGTATAAATGTAAAATGTGTTGACAAAAAGATTGTACAATCACAATCAACATCTTTGCTTGATTTATAAATGTTATAAAATCACTATATTATTCTAAAAGACTTTTGTTCACAATAGACCTCATTACCTGAAATTTCATTTTCAGTTGTTGCTGAAACACAATTCACAAGCTGACCTTCATTCACGGACTCTGAGGAAGGGTGATCAGCAAGGCTATCTGTCAAGTCTCCATGATCTGTGTAGTTTGGCTCCTGTGAAGAGCAGTAAGTACAGAAAATATTGGCTTATAATGAAATGCAAGGTTAAGTGAAGCATAAGCATTTCAAGATTCTTACAGGAAGTAATTAATCAAACATAATTACCTCCATTTAGGTAATTACCACAGATTCAGAATACACAAGACTTTCAGAACAGCAAGGACTAGATGCACCAAAACTGCCCCATCTTTAATTGAGCAATTTCTTAACTGGGCAGGATAAAATACACAAATAAAAGAAAAACAATGTGATCAGAGTTTTCCCCAAAGTGTAAGTTAATCCTAAAAATGCTAAAAAGAGAAAACCAGCAAGGGAATTTTACAGAGAACTTCCTACATCATGAAAGGGAGGAGTGGTTTATGGATCAAACAGGGAACTTTATTAAAACCAGTTTCTAAAATGCACATCACTGGAATATTTTTGTAGTAAAGTTCACCTCGGGAGATGATCAATTAAAAGTACATGTACCTTAGTGCGCTGTATCTCTATCACTCTTTCCGATTGCTGTGATGAGGAAGATGTGTCATAGTAAAGTTTTGGCTCCAGAGGAAGAAAAAGACCTTTCACAGAAAAAAGGGTACATACAATTATATTTTTTGAAGAGAATCTGAAGTTAATACACTCAGTCTTCAGCAAGGCAGGGCTATACCTGATCCATACCATTCACTGGGAACAAAAACACACAATTTAGAGACGGCAATTATCTTAACCAACTTGTCTTTGGGAAAACTGAAAGTACTTTCAGAAAAAATTGGCATAGTGTAGGCATCCATACGTGAGCTTTAATTCTATAATATGAATTCTGCCTGTTTTAAGTCTTTTCCATGACTTGGAAACAACCCAAAATGTAAGCTAGGCTATTCGAGTTGTCCATCAGAATGTGGAAAGGATACTAAATGTAAATGGAAAACATTAAGAGCCGACAAACTCTTAAATGCAGCTATATATACACACACACACACTTACCAGGAGCTTTTTCTGTAACGCTAGTGCTTGGTTTAGAGAGGTCCTTTCCAAAATCAGCACTGTCTCTACTGCTTTGATCATAATTATCTACATCCTGGATTAAACAGAATAGAAAACAAACACTGATCAACTCTCTTCCTCTTAAATTTCATCAGAACTATTTCTCAAATCTTGGACAACAGAACAGTTTTTGCAAAGCAAAAATTACATGCTATCACTACATAACACCTTATCACGGGTCAATGTACATTATCAGCAATACCTCTTCAGATTTTAAATGAGGATATGGGTTAGTGACAAAATATACCCCCATTGGTCATCAGCAAACCACAAATTTCTTGTCAATTTCCTGCTTGCAGTTATTTCTTACAAAAGGACTCCCACATGCTTCATGTCCCAGTACTACAGGAAACAAATGTGTACCTCAAAGTTATCCTTTGTTTTCTGTGCCACAGATATTTCTGTAGACAAACATGAAACTTCAAGTTCCGTTCTTGCACTCAGAGGTTGGAAAGGATGGTTATCATGCTTTGTTAACTGCAGGGATGTATGACAATTAGATTCCCCCAGTTCTGTTATATCCATCCCAGCTGAAGGTGCTAAAAATAGACGTCAGGATTAATGCGTTACTGTCATGACATCATCCAAGTGGAACCCAGAAGAATCTCTATGCATCCTGCGTTTTCAGTGAACCTCCATACCAACTGTTAAATTAATTCTTTTCTAAAAAAGAATTAGAAACCTTAATCAATACCAAAAGTATTGAAAGGTGCATCTTTCAGTGATCCATAATACTGGTTATAAGGAAAAATGTACATATTGATTTTTCAAAAAATGTTGAATGCAGAATACCTAATATTTAATAATCTCTTTTCATTACCTTACTCTTTAGAGCTCTCGCATATCACAAATAAAACATACCATAAAAATTCCCAACAGCATCCAAAGAGTGATTCAGTTCTTTAGTGTATTTGTCGATTATGCGTTGAATGCTGTTGCCATTAATAGACTCTGAAGAGGGTGATAAATGTTTTAGGACTTCACTGGTGTTAGGTTTAGAAGAGGCAAGCAATGTATTTGGAGAGCCTTCAGAGAATTTAGCTCTTGTATAATCTGTTGGTTGCGTGAAAGCATCTGTAAGAGATAAAGCACAAGGAGTGACAAACACATGAATATGGAGTACTACTGTATATTGTCACACAACATCCCTTGTTACACTACCTTTGGCTGTTTCCATTAACCAGTTAAAATCATTTAAAATCTGCCAATTACAAAACAGTCAGCAGTTGAGTTGTGCAGCGCGCCTGTTTTGGCACATCAGTCCCCAAAGAACAGTTTACAGGCGATATGGATCATTAATCCCAGAGCCCATTTAACCTGCATTTCAGTCTACAGACAAATGTGCAAGCATGGATATATTTTCAGTAGCCGTTGGATGAGACTATCCTAACTGTTTTTTTCACAGAATTGAGACTGTTACACAGTTCATCTCAGCCACATTACTGAATATAAACAAGGATTAAATACATTTTGCTAAAGCAGGATCTATTAGATGCAATGTTTATTGCCTATTAAAGGGGGGAAATTTCCCCATAAAAATAGATCAGACAATGCTCATATTTTCAACTGTATGCAGAACATACATTTTTTCTTTCTATGGCTACAATTGTTTTACCCATGCTTACTCATGTTGAGCAAATTCAATATCCCAAGTACCATGAAGCAATTGCAGTGGAGTTATTGCAGAAGATCTGTACATGATATGCAAGAGGAAAAAGGCTGAAGTCTTCACTTAGTATGACTGATCAAAACTGTATACTTAATTATTCTTCCCTAAAACAAAGATTAATGTTCTTAGTAATAACCCCTTAATATGACTAGCAAACTAAGTCCACAGTAAGATGACTTCAATGAATTTTAAAAACTGACTCAACTAACCAGTTCCTGTAAAGTTTAGGTCTGCTTCACTGGTTGAAAAGCTTCCCGTTGAAATTGTAGTGGAAGACAAACAATCCGTGTCTAACGGTTTTTGGTCTGATGGCATGGAAAATAGATCCACCGACGAAGGAGGAACCATGATCTGCAGTGACAAAATTATAAAATCAAACGAAAAATGTTGCTTGGAGAGATTTTACAATGAAAAAAAGGTAGTGATTTCAAATTAAACAAAATACTGAGCTCAGTTCAAGTGTAGAGATCTTCATGAAATACAATTTTTTTGTACTTCAGACAAATTTATTTACATCATAGCTCAAAAAAAGACGCAGTCAATCATTCACACATCCACTCTCTCATACACTCACACACACAAAGGCAAACACACCAGACAGACACAAAAAAAGATTGCTTCTCTGACAATCATGATTCTTGTAGAGAAAAATCTACAAGTGTTCAGATTTGGCTAACTTTCATCATTGATCCACAATTTAAAGTAGATCTCAGAGGAAGGAGTTTCATAAATGCAGTCAGAATGTTTATGGCTTACCTCACTTCTTGGTTTAAACCTTGGAATAACTGGACCAGGATAACTCAGTACACCTCTTCCAATATCGGATGAATAGTTAGGCAATTCCATTTGTGCAGCAGGTGATGAAAAAGCAGGAACAGCTGCAAAAGAAATTTAAGCTAACAATTTCTGTAATGGAAGGAAAGAATAAACACATCTAAAACTTTGCCTTAAATACTTTAATCGGAATAAAAACAATATTAATCCCCCACAGAAGAAAGGACAAAATTGTTGGTTCATTTAATGTTTTTTTTTTCTCTTTTCACAAACTGGTAGAAATTGGCATTCATATCCTTGCATACAAGGGATGCCTCACTACCTTTTGAGTGACACAGTACTGCATTCTGAAAAGCAAGGTTTTCTTACCAGGCTGTGAGGAAGAACTTGCCTCCAGCAGCAGTCTCTCTCTCCAGGACAGCTTACTGGAACAGCCTGATTCAGCAGCACTGGAAAGCTGCCTGGTGCTACTCTGAGACGAACCAGAGTACTCAGTTTGGAAAGAGACCACCTCCACTGGGCATCCAGTGACACTAGAATCTTCTCCCACGTCCTCTTCTGGTAAGAAAATAAACATTGAACAAAGCATTCCTAAAACAGTTTATACAACTCTAACATAAGTCTTTACATTCTAGGTCTTAGCATCTATAACTTTACATGGTATAAATGAATGCGAGCATCTTGTGTGGACACTATCAGCATCAATCACTACAAGGCATCTACACTTTATACAGGTTATCATAGATCTCAGAGGTGTGCAACTCCGACACACTTACACTACCATCATTACACATGGATGTCCTGGGCATGCCCATTGTGGCGATGTTTCAGAAGATCAATAATGACTTTGTGACAATTAAGTGGTTTCTGACAACACGATGGAACATCCCAGCCAGAAGCATACCAAGCACTTGACTATGCTCATAACTGGCAAGTGTGGCATTATTGTGGATGGGACAGACTTTCTATGAATTTGTTTGAAGTGCCTTTCTAAATACTATAGTGACTGCATTTGTTCCAATAAAGTGGGTCTTGCTATTCCCAGTTCAATTCAAAGAATCTGTCATGCTTGAAAATTTCAAAGTGACAATCATAAAAGTTTATCAACCAGTTATCTATTTTTCTTGTAGTTTCTACTGTGGGGTGGTATACAGAAGTTCTTTAATGCCATTCATGTTCATACGCTGGATATGAAATTAGTATTCCAAAACTGCATCACCTATGGGAAGGCTGTCGCTTATTGGAGTCTCGACCTCCTGAATTGCACTAAGCTCATGCTGTTCAATCATTTCCAAAATTCCCAGTTTAGGTTTGGCCAGAGGTGGTTTCTGTGGTCTGTTTAGTTGGCTGTTTCGGCTTTGGTACTCATTTTGAAATGAGGAACCTGTAAAAAAAAAAAAAAGCAACAAGAGGTACTTAACAAGCTGTACTAAACAACTACATGGCTGTATGCCATGTAGCACAACAGCTTAGTTACTAAGAATTACGTAATTGAAAAATAGATTGAATTCACAAAACAGTAGGAATAAAATGTTAACCTATATTGGACCTTATACCTTGTTTGTTGGAAATAAAGTAAGTATAATGATTACATTGGGAAAAAAATATATACGCTGTTGAAGGGATGAATGAAACCTCAGTCAGAATATTAGCATTATAGAGTTGGATAAGTACATTTCAGGTACATGCTTCCATTTATTTCCATTATACAGCAACAATCAAATGCACAAATTAGAAATTCAATGTGTACCACATCTCACCATGACTAATTTAAAAACAACCCATGCTGATCTCCAAAATTAACATTTGTCTTGTATAATAAACTCATGTGCTGAATAGCAATAAAAAAAAGCACAACTGACTGAACTCATTATAGAAGCCAAAATCCAAGTGAAACCATTCTCTTTCTAAATGAAGTAGAAATGAGAATAATCTCATTAAGGGCACAAGACTTGCATTAGAAACAGAGACAATTACGGGAAAAAGTGCAAACGCTGCCTTTCAGTAAGACAATTATCATAGCAAGATAAATTAAGTCAACTGGTAAGAAACTATTGCAGACTTGCTGAAATTTTAGATAGCTGAAGCACATTTCACTAAACTACATGGTAAATTTAACATCTTTAATACAGATGAACTATGCATAAGACTAGATAACTTGCAATTGGGATGGTCTATTTAATGACCTTGTTAAAGCTTTTAAATGAGACTCTTTTAAATGTAGAAATCAGAATTTTCATGAATAATTGACCTTTGTGGTTTCACTCTCAACACCGATATCTGTATACAGGAAATACACCTGCATATTATTAAGCTATTGCACACATTATCAAACCAGTATTATTAAATAGCAACCACTCTGCAGGCTGATCTACCCAAAAAAACCTTACATTTGTTAAATCTGATTCTGCTGCCTTCCTGGATCAAACCAATCAAATATCAAAAAGCTGTTTTTTTTCTATTTGATCTGAAGTAGGCAACTTTTCACCTAAGTAGTTATCCAAAAACCATTTATCACTGATCTTCATTTTACTTCAATTTATAAAATCAGAGCAAATCTTAAATCTTAACTAGACAATACTGTGATGCTGCCACTACACTTCATTGAACACATTTTAAAAGACCTGAAACTTAATGACTCCTCCCATAATATCTTTATAAGCAAGTAACACTGCACCGGTCTACAGAAAATCAGCTTACTAGAATGGAGGATGAGTGTCAGAATAACTGTTTGCCAATACCCTCCAAACACAACAGGACATATTCCATTATGAAAAGTTACAAATTAAATGTTTAACATGCTTAAATTCAAATAAAACAAGCTTAAACACCAAGACTGTCATAGAACCGTCTTGTAAAACTATACCAGATATCAGTCTGCTTCCATTTTTCATGTTACTTTGAACACAGCTTTTGTAGTTTAAAGTGGGTGATTAACACAGGATCGGTTAAGCGAGACAGCACAGCAGAAAGACAAGCTACCAATTAGATACTGAGATAATAGATAATAAATATAAAGCCCCCCCAAGAGTTACCAAAGGAAAACCACGATGGATTACAGGTACAAACTTTAAAATACCTCGACTCAAACCTGGCAACACAGCAGCCCCAAACCTGCCTTAATGCAGTTCCACTACTGAGGAATCCAAACTGGATAGAGACTGCGCCAATACAAGTTATTATGCGAGTGCCCAAACTATTACGTAATTGTGTATTTAGATGTCTACTGTTCTGGAAATCTGCTGATACTTAGTAGGAAAAGCAGGAACCCAGAAGCATACTATAGGGCACAAGCCAAACAACATACCAGTATATTACAAGTCAGATATGCACATGCAAGCACACATTAGAAACCTTAAATAGCCCTGCCATACCCATCTTTGAGAAATCAGAGGAAAACAAGCCCCTGATCCAAAACCTGTAAGACTGCAGCACTAGCATCATAACCACTGTGGTGCCTGCCCTTTAGACGTTCAAATGAACATTTTTTATAAAATGCCTTTAATTTGTTAATAAAAACTACTGCATAGAGATGTACATTTAAAAATGGACAGATTTGATTTTGATAAATTCAACATTAGTCAAGATATAACATCTCCCCTTTTTAGACTTTTTTCAATCTGTGACATGTGCCATTTTTACTAAATGCAAAGACTCCCACAGTATGTGGGCAATGTACATGTTTAAGTGGCTCAGGTAATTTATTGTGCTATTATTTTGATAGGTCAGTTTCTTTCCATTCACATAAGAGATGCACAAATACCCTCAAGGGACACTTTTCTGCAGCTACTATTACAGATACTCCCTCTATGCTACAGTCACTTCTAAATTATATTTGTGTCAAAAGTGAACACATTTTAACCTACAGTTATCAGACTTAGAGGTTTATTGATTCAAAAGCTATGACAGACTGAAAACCCAACAACTATGAAAAATCTAATTACAAAAAAAAAGAGGAATTTTATGTCCAGGAGTTGTTAATTTAACGAGTTGGCTTAAAAAGATGGCACAAGTCAGGGGTTTAGCTGCAATATGATCTTTTACAACAGATTTACTGTTCCAATAATCCTAGCCATGTTAAGCACATCCTAGTAATTGTCAGCCTGCCTTTAGGCAGAACATCATTATAGAGAAGCAGAAGGGTTAACCTCAAGGATATTGCGTAAAGCAGTCTCGAGCCCAAGTATAAATCAGCAGTAGACTGGTTTCAGAACATTTGTCAACGAAGTGTTGATTCCAGGCTTATTAAGAATCAAAACCTGTCAACACCACTTTCTCAGACTTTCCTGCAGCCAGATGGGTACACCAACCTGCTTTGTAGGATGCTAAGGGCAACTAGTAACCATGGTAACTGAAAAAGGCATGCCACAGACTAAGAACTGCAGCAGTGTTTAAATCTCAGAAACACTTATTACATAAATTCACAGACAAATATCTGAGGTGCATGTCACTTTATATACTGTATTGTCTTTTACAATACCTAGGCACTTTTAGAGCTCCAGGGTGAGCTAGAAAGCAAACAATGTAACATTTTTAGCCCCTAATTCTTCTTTCTGCTGCAGTACTATAACAAAATTAGCATGCAACCCCCATAGCAGTAAAGCTAATGAAGTCTGCTTTTATAACTATTTCATTTACCTGTGAAATCTGTGGATTCTCATACCCTTACTCTATTTTTAAAATTAGAATAGCCAGCCCACCCAGGCAAGAATCATAAACGGTGTATTTCACCTCTCTCCACACAAGTGCAGGCAGGCTCCTTTGAACCTCTCCACTTCCAGCCACCCATCTTTTAAAAGGGGAACTGCAGTCCCAATTTATGGTAAGCAAATCTCAGTAACAAGATGCATTCACAGTATGGAAAAATAAATTACAAAATTTGAATTAAGCACAAAAAAGTTCTGTGTGGTCACCATATTTGCCAACTGCTGGTCTCGCCACGGGCGAGAGTTTGCGTGAAATCCGATATGAAGCTGCCCTTCATGCTCACTAGTCACTGTAATGACTGATGCAATGTAGGAGCAAACAAGCAGTTCTAACATGATCTGCATGGATGGAGAGTTAAGTTGTATTTGTCTGCAAAACAGTGCTTTGAAGTCAAAGAGCAATATTTCTATTAGCTTAAAAAAATGTATTCACAAGTCTATTTGTTTACTATGCAATAATGCTGCTTCACATCACCAGATATTTTGTGGTCTTGTTCCAAATCTCAGAATTTGGTGCTGTGCATACCTGGAAATGATGTCTATTTTGTGATGTAAATTAGAGGTTTTACAGATTACTGCACAGTTTAATTTTATGGTGGTTTGAAATGCACTCATCAATGCCTATTCTTTCTAACCCCGAAATACAAAAATATAATTGGCACCCAGGAGGTTCAGCAATTATAGGGGGAGAGGAGTGTCCCCGACAGCACCACAAGCTTGCGAGTGCTTGGAATGTCACATTGCTGAGGGATCCAAAGGAGCTCTGGCCAACATCCCAACCTACCCTATGTGGGTTACAGTTGGTTAATGCCATGACACAGACTCAAACTCACAACACCTAGATAAGTAAGCTCAACCCATGTTAGGGCAAGCATACTTATCTGGTGAGCCACTCGGAAGTCCAATTATAGGGATATTTGAAAGCGAAAGTAACAATGATACGTGTAAAGTGAAATATAATAAAATGCTGAGAATAAAATTGCCTAAATTTTGACAATGACATGTGAAACCTTCACCTTCTGAACACCCTCCCCACAAGTAAGTTGAGTGGCGATTTAAAATGTTTCAAACAATAGAACAGTATGTTTAGAGATCGGACATCTATTATTATAAAGACGATTCAGCCATTATAAAGATGATAGGTGTGGAATAAAATGTGGCACTACAGGTAGTCGAAGCACACATGCAGTTAGATCTTGATTGTAATTACTGGAAGAGCACTACTACATTATTTCTGCCATGTACTTATATGGAAACAGCACTATGGCTTTCTGATTTTCAGATGAACTTGAAAGATGGAGCAGACTGTAAACGGAAAGTTAAAAGGGAGAGGTATTCGTTAACCTACCACTTGGCACAAATGTCTGATGGTTGAGAGAAAATGTATTGGGATTTGCTTGTGAAGACAAATTAAACTTCAGTTCCACACTCTGAGACTGCACAGGAGCACTATCAGATTCCGGCACTGAAGACATTAGATGGAACTGTTCTGCTTTATTGATCTTTGAGACAGATGTCTCCTGCCTGGGCTGTGCCGACTGAAACAAGACAGAGGTTAATAAAGGTTTAGTGCACGCCAGTATTTTCAGATCATACATAGATATTTGTAATTATCTCCATTGCTCAATATTTATTATTGAGTTACTACAAATCATTTTCTAACCTTATTTGAAAATAGTGCATAATTCAGAATTCTCAAGAACTAAGGGTGGACTACAAAGTCAGTCCAAGCAATCAGGTAGAGAATTACCACATGCAGGAAGTAAAGTCCTCCAGTGATAAAAGCCCAAAGTGCCCCTATCACATTTCTCTGTTGTCCCACACAGCTTGCACATAAAGAGCAAAATAATTGTCCTGATATGGAGACAGATGCATTCAATAACCAATAAAAGCTTGAGAATGCTAAGGGCTATTCTGAAGTTAAAAAAAAAATAATGAATTCCACATCAACATGGAATTAAAATCTAAGAATAATTCATGCACAAACTCAAAAGAAAATCATTACTAATTAGATATTAACCATGGCTTGCACTTACTTACAATCCTTTATGTATGAATGGGTACAGTAGTGTTGAATCAAGTACCAGAGTGTGTGTAGAATTTATTTGGAAATGAGGACTGAGTAGCTACCATTAGGGACAGGGGATTTCAGTGCCCATCTGGGTCCAATGAAGAAAGGATTACTTGAATATGAAAAGGTAACGTGCACCTTGTAATATGCTAAAATTGGCATTGGGACGGTTTTTGAAACGAATGAAAAAAAATAATCAAATGGACAAAATCTATTTGATTTTGTCTGTGAAATATAGTTTGGAGAACTCAAGTTAACCAGAGCAAACTATAACTATACAAACAGAACCTTGGGCAGAGCATGAAAACAAGCCTACTATATTAATCTTGTCAAATACGGAACTACCTAGAAAGTATTAGAACAGAAACAGGTTGTTTACCAGCTTGTAAGTGTGGAATCCTTCCAAGGATGTTGGCTGTCTGCTCATCTGTTCCTTCAGCTTGTTCTGCTTTTGCATCAGCAATTCTTCTTGAACTCTCTGCTGCTGGAGGAGAGCTTCTCCTCTCTGCCTTGCCAGCTTCTCCCGAGTTTCCAGGAGCTGGTGCTTCTGGGCCAAGATCTCCGTAGACGATACCAGGAGCCTGCCCTGGCTCTGGACAGGCGTCGCGGCCACAAGAGATGAAGTGCTAACATCTGAAATAGCAACTGTTATATCTTTACAGCGGTCTGATGGTTTTAATAAATCCCGTTCCTGATGAAGGACGGGCACCTGCACGATCTGTGAAACATTTGAACCTTTGTCCGATATATGAGCTTCACCTTGTAAAGGATGTCTTTGGGTCTCAGGGTTGGATGTTTCCAGAGGCACGAATGAAGACAGCTGACCCTTTTGCAGAGCAATACCATGAAAGTTGGTGTCAACTTTTAAAAGCTGTCCCACATCTACTTCTGACCTCTGCATTTCAAAGGTTCCTTGAAAGGTTTCATGCACTGGGTGCGTCTTTGCATTCAGCAAGTCTTGATAAAATTCCCTCCCCGAGTGTTGTGCTGGCAGCCGAATTTGCGAGTCTCCATCAGAGTTCTGGGCTGGTGCATGAGCTCCAGAGGGATCACTACCCAAGACAGAAGTAATTGGAAATGTAGATGGAATGCAAGTTTGTAACCTATTGTCAGTGTCAGATGTTTCATAATGACACCATTTTGAGCTGTTGGATTGAGACTGCGCGAGTAAGCTGCCATTATGAGTCCCTAATGGAAAAGGGCCAGGGGGCAAATTGCCGTTTGTTTTAGGATTTACAATAAACGTCAATTGAGTGGGCTGCTTTGGTTCCAAATACTGATCTACTGTCGCTTCAGGTAATGGTAAGCCCGAGTCCAAGAGGCCATTGTGAAGTCCACCCTGCTGGAAACTAATAGGTTGCTGAGGTGCCGATACATCAGTAGATGGATTCACCACTGTTGTGGAAAAAGACGGATATCTTTTCTTCAACATCAACTGATAATCCTGAAGGCACCGTCTTGCTTCTTCCACCGACTGTTTATGAAGCCTGAAAATCGCACAGGACACTCAGTTTGTAGATATACAATTCTAAATTGACAAATCAGGCTGAAAACAACTTTAGCACAGTATAAACCACTTAGACAACTAGCAAACCCTAATGAAATAATTGAAATTGTTTATTAGAACTTGTCACTAAGTCACTTATATTAATAGATTAGGATAATAGTGTTTTATAATAAGTCAACTATCAAGGAATGCTGAAAGGTCAATTTTACTCAATCGTTACAAGAGATTTATAGGTTTCCATTAGATTCGTTTTCCATGTCTTGCTATGGTACATACAATTCAATATACCTATTTAAACAAGTAAAAATGTAAATGGTTCACCATCCGACAGTTTAAAACTAACCGATTTTGTTCCAGAAGGCGCTGTTGATATTGTCGAATCTTCTTTACATGTTCATCCTCTGAAGATGAAGAAAGTAGGACGTTGTTTTTCTACAAAAGTGGCATTAAATTTGATACAACTACATTAAGAGCATGTTTGAGCTAAAACGGAAGGTTAAGTATTGGTAGTAGTTAACATAACCATTAAAACTACTTGCAGTAGTTTTGATAGCTGTTCAGCAGTACTAATGCATGTCATCCTAAACAAGATTTTGCACGCACTATACCGAGCATCAAAGGAGAATTCTACAACTGCATCAAATTCAGAGTTATCGGGAAAGCAGCAGGTGCACCATCTTTAATGTCACAACTGTTCAATAATCACCAGGGTTGACTGCAATGTATGTATTCAAATTCACAAACTAGGATTGCAGCTGACCACCAATGGAATTAATGGAAACTGTACAGATGACATTTGGGATTGTGTCCCCTCTCTTACAGCCTAAACAAGCAAGTGATTGTGCACTGGTCTCTGAGCCCCAGTTGCCACACACCATCCAAGCGGAGGCTCAAGTATGGCGAGTAAGGTATTGACAGCATAATTGTCACATTCTCATCTCACATGAAATCACACTGCTTATACAAGGAGTATGAGAATGTGTGCTGAGCTCAGATCAGGATGATCGCACAGGAAGAGCAGCAAGAGAGGTTCCAGGACTTCAATGATGGGAAAACCAACTGCATTGCAGTACAACCGGTAGCAACTAGACACTCCCTGTCTAGACCATCATTCTTGAACCTCTCCATTAATCCGTATGCTGTACACAATTCTTACTGCAAGTCTCTATCCCATTTATCAATATCCATCAAGGTGGTCTACAAAAAACTGATTACTAAAGAGGGTGTCATCAGTTTGTTGGAGGCAAGTCACTGTTCTCTTTATAAACAGGCAATTTTGGGCTGATTTTCAGGTTAAATTATTTCATCAGGTATAACCAATCAGCAGACACTAATGAGGTTATTTAGGGCTTACGCAACAGTCAATTTTTTTGTATTGAAGTCATCACTGAACAATTAAGGATGCCAAAATCACTCTCCAAAATTATATTTTATATGCATGCATAAAGAGCAATCCATTGTTTTATGCTCAGTGTAAAAAACATGTACAATTAAATAAAAGCAAATACCAGGTCATAACCATCTTATTTGCTTCACTGCAAAACAAGTTTTAAATTATAACAATTTCAATGTACTGTCAAGCACACCTGATGTGCTCCACTGCACCAGTAAAATTGCAAAATGTAATAAAATCAAAACAAATATACTACTGGGTCAATAAAACTCAAAATACCTCAGTGGCAGCAGATGGTTCTTCTTTCTGGGATTGAGGCTGTTCATTTCCCTCGGGATTCTCCAGGATCGCAGCCTGTAGCCGCTCCCTGTCTGCCAGAGCCTGCTGTAAATGAGCTTCCAAAATCCTTTTCTGCTCCTCTAGGTGCTGTAGCAGTGCAACTTGTTCTTGCTTTTGCACTTCCAACTCTTCCTCCTACAGCGGCACATGCAAAACAAAGTAACAGGAGTAAAGCAACAATGCAGAAGGAATACTACTACTGCTACTACAGGGGATAGATGGAATTAATATATATTTTTTAATTTTTCCATACCCATCAATCAAATACTCACAGCAAATAAATGTATAGCTACACAAATTACCTTGCAGACATACATTTAATGTAATCAGACTAAGCAATTACCACTTGGAACGATCAAATTCTGCATTTTTAAAACCTATTCAGGCTAAGAGGTTTTTCATTTCATACATTTTAGATTAAAAATAAAGATAGTTCAATTTTTTTTTAAAAAGTACAGAAAACCTGTTTTTTCTTCTCAGAAGCTGAACGTAATTTATTGGCTTGTTCTCTAGGATGCAGCAGGGTCGTACTCCCAGCAATAATTGACTCCTCTGATGTTTCAGGACCTGAAAAACATACCTGAGAGCACTAGTATAAAATTAATTTAAAACTCAGCACATTGTTTAGTATTAAAGCCTAAGGAATCTCCCTTGATTCATGCCTAAAACATGAATCGAAAGCAAACTGCTGCATAAAACTCAGCAGTCCTCCAATTTGTGGTAACCCTGAAAATTAAACCTTTTCCAGCTCTAGAAAAAATGAATTCCCAGTGTAACAAAGGAAATCTGAAAACTCAAACTCTGAACTTACATACAGTTTTAAAGCCTTAGATTTTCTTTGTTTTCTACATCTCAAATAAGATTCACCTTCAGGCTGGGAAGCCAATGCAGGAGGTTTTGCACGAGGGGGTCCATCTCTGGGACAAGTGGATATTTCCTCGTCTCTCTCTTCACTGTCCAGGGAGCCCGATTCGATAGTCATGGTTTCGGGAGCCGTCTCAGCCTCACTACGGGAGCTCCACTGGTCTCTCTGGGTCCGGACCTTGCTCAGTAGTCGCTTTAATGCTTGTTTTGAGGCCTGGGCCTGATCTAAAATTTGAATTGTTGGGATTAGAAAACAAACGTCTCACAGCTAGTGCCTTTTTTAAGCATAAAACATTTAGACATTTTTCAGGAATGACTGCACAACAAGTAAAGGGGATTTATTATTAGAAGTGGTCTTGCAAATAAGTACATAATCAATGCAGAGTTGTGCATTGGTTGATGGTACATCTAAATATAAGACTCTCGTACAAGGGTTTGAATTGGTGTAGAAGTGACAATTTACTGCTTTAGTGATATGTTTAACTTCCAGCTCAATCTAACATAAGATTTGAATAAACTAAATCCAAATAGCATTTTGCACCACGGAATATCGGAGTTCTCTAAGCAAGTCTTAACCTTTCTTTGCAGAATTTCATGCGATATTCTCTACCTTCTGTTCTTCTTGGCAAGCGAACCGATTGGCTCTCTTCCGAGTGCTCTTCGCCATTAGATGTTACCACAGACTCCAGGGTTACGTCCAATTCACCATCACGACTTCCTGTGGATGGCACAGGAAGTGGTTCCGGGACTAAGCGAAGAACCAAGTCACCCTTTACTCCTGTAAGAGCAATTGCATGGTTAAGCCTCACAAACAAAGCATTAGCCTAAAAGATATTTAAAAAAATGGATTGAGGTAATTACATGAGCTGAAATCATAAAGCTCACATTTCTGTCTTCTAAGGCAATCAAAGAGCAGCAATTACCTTTAGGTTATATTAATATACAACAGTGGAAGGTACAATTTAAGAAACTGATGTAATTTCACTGCTTTGGCTTGTGGTGGAAAGCAATAGCAGGTACAAATTCATCCAAGAACGATAAGGCAATACACACGTATACAAAGATCACAGTATAATATGGCAAAAAACAAGCCACCAACTTACTTCTCTCTCCGGAATACATGTCTTCAAAGGCAAACTCAAGATCCCTCTGCTTTTCTTCTTTCAGTTCTTGTTGCTTGTGTGCAGGTTCAAAGAGTTGGGGAGGCATCTGTGCCACAACCTGCCTGCGCCTGGCCAGATCTGCCTGCTGCATCTGCTCAAGCTCCATCAGCAGTCTCTCCCGGTCCTGAGGGCCAGCAATGGACCACACTGCCTTGTCACCACCACGCAAGTCCACTAAACAGAATTCAGGCTGGTACATTCTCGGACCAGGTTCCCTATAGTTCTCTCTGTTCAGAACTAAAAGTCCATTCAGGCTGGCAGTGTACCACTTTCCCTTAAGCCCCAGAATAGATCCAACATGCTTACTCATCAGATTTTCATTTTTGTGCTACTATATGAAACTAGCAGTTTTGAGAATTACTTCCAAAACCTAAACATAAAGCTTTCTCCACCTTTGAGATGACCTGTAGATAAGAAGGGCAGTGTACCTGGGTGAGCTGGACCACTCGCAGGGCATGGCTGCCCCTCAGTCTGGCCTTCTCCAGCTGCTCCCTCCTCTCCTGCTCCTCTTCCTTCTCCAGCTCCTCGAGGCGCCTGCCCTCGACTGCTGCTGCGGCCCGAGCATCCGCCTGCCAGGAAGCACTCATTTAACACTCCAGCCTATTTCTAAAGGAAACGGGCTTTGATATGGAAGCATTGTGCTGGAGTTTCAATTTAGAGGTTTACATCACAAATAGGTCACAAGCTATAAAGCTGTTTACGCCTTTACATGGAAAAAAAACCCTGCAAAACAGCAAAGTGAATTAAGACCATTCTTAAAACCAATGTAAACCTCAATTATGGATTAAGCTTAAATTCCATATGCTGAATTGGGGATTTTATCACAGCGTGTGGAATTCTTTACCCAGAATTTTCAGAAAGGCTTAACTGACAATTTTCAATTTCATACACGGATTGGTATTTAAAACACAGCGGTATGAATTTACACAGCTGAAAGCAAATCACCTGCTCCGTCACGGCTTCTCTGTCCACACACGTCTCGGGTAGATGGTAATGAGTGACAGAAAAACCGTCGACGTCATACATCTTGACAGAAGGAAGCTTCTTTACGTTAATGTTCTGAGGACAAAAGTCAAAAGTCACTTGGTCAGAATTCGATCAAACCTTGCTCCCACGTAATATTTGAAAACAGCGGAGGCGACTGAAGATTATTTGTAAAGTTCAAGATCACAGTAACCTCAATTTCAGAAAGCTTTTTTTGCCAAACACGCCTTGCATTCCGCAGTGAAACTTACTTCAAAAGGGTCTGGAGGAGGAGGTGGGAGACTGGCAATCTTTGCCGACCTCTCTTTTTCTGCAAGTAGAGCTTTTCTGCGAGCTTTCAAGTGTCTGTACAAAAAGCAAAGGTGTTTTCACATTTTTGAAGCAAATAAACCACAACTGTATTGAACAGCCAGCTATTATTCTAGAAACAAATGGCAAAAGATTTTGCTGCTCAAAACTGAAATATAACAGCTTTATTCAAATGTTTTTGCAAAGCAAGCCATCTATGCAAACATTTCACATTCAGATTTAAACAAACCTGCAGATGGGATTTATGATGTATGCCAGGATGGGTAATTTTACTCAACTATATTTTAAGGTTTTTTTTAATGGCCAAATTTGCATAAATTGTTTTAAATCAGCTGACACGTTTTTCTGTCAGTAGGGAAAATCAATTAAAGATCACCAAATACCCATAAAACAACTCAATATAACAAAAGGCTGTTAATTTAAAGTGAAAATAAAAACAGTTTAAAATCAAATTTGTAAAGCTTTTATGTTCCATCTTTTAAATATACCTACTTATTTTTTAGTGTAAGAGTTCAGGATTATCTAAACACTTCCACACAAAGAATGAAACTAAATATAGTGTTACTTTTTAAGCTGCTTAACACATGGGTAACATTCTACACAATCTTAACACACCAATACAGACCTGATTTAAGAGTCATATTAACTTTCTGAACCAGAGTTTGGAAAAGAAGGATACTGAATAAGAAATACAGAAGATGCTGGTCATAATTAGAATTATGAACTGACCTAGTCTGCTCTTCACTTTGTTTCTGCCTTTGCGTTTTTAACTCTTTCAGTGCGTGTCTGTGTCTCTCTTCAGCCTTCTCGTTACTCTGCAGCATCTTCTGTGCAATTGCAGCCAGATCAGGTTCCTGCAAATGAACAACAAACATATGTTGGACTCTCTTGCACTAATGACAAAACATAAAATACCTGTATGCCCTTAAATTCTTAAGGATAGGATTTTTCTTGAAAGACAGCAATTCTGTAATTAAAGTACTTATAGAGACTACTTGTTTTCAAAATAATTGGATCCGGAGGAAAAAAAAACTGAACAGCATCTTAATTTGAATTACTTAGAGCACAATTATTTTGCTATGCTATTAGCTAAAATGAATGTCAGACTAAGAACAGTTAAAACTAAATTCTTATGCATCAATACTTTGGCCATCAGTTAAAAAGACTAGCTCCTGTGCTAACTGATATAAAGCATTACTTAGTAAAACTTCTGGCAAACTCTGAAATTGTATTACAAGCAGAGAAAGAAATTAAAATAAGCAATTTTGTTAAGTGGTCTTGGAACCTGATTATGTTCATTTAAAAAAAAAAAGTTTAAATGTACCCTGAATAAACAAAAGAAATGAAATGGAAACCCATCAAAGTGAAAACTAAATGATAGAAGGCTTGATTTTTCAACCTCAAGTAAAAACACTTCTAAATTAACCCTTGACAGGACAATGCAATGAACAGAGAACAGTAGTGCTGATACTGTACACATGTGATCGTCTCATATTCAGTCTTGCAGTCAAAATTGTGTTACTAGAACTAGACAAGTAGCTTTTAACTTAGGCTTTTCCCAACTTAGACTTGAACTGCAAATGAAAGTTATTTTAAGGAAATCTGGAAATGCATAAAATGTTGAACTCATGCAGAAAATGAGAAAGTCTTTGAAGCATTCCATGATTGAAAGTGCATCCATAGTAAATTACCTCAACTGTAATTAAAGCAAATAATGGAAGCTTATTAAAAAGTGTTACCAGAAAACAATATACAGCACAAGCTCTAGATTTAAACTCTATACCAACAAGTATTTGACATGTTTGCTAGAACTGAGGAAAAAAAAGGCAATAAATGATTTGTGAATAGTCTTTGTATTACCATGGTACACACCAAACAATTACTGATAGCATCATCATTATATTACTCTACCAGCCAACAACAAATTAATCATTGACTAAACAACACTCTTTATAACCTTTTCTATCATAATTAGAGCACAGTTTCCCAATCCTGGTCACCCCAGGTTTTTAAATCTAGCAGATCTCTTGACTTAAGAAACCCTTAATCAGGCTCCTGTAGCAAGACAATGAAAGCAAATACAGCCCGATTTCATTACTAACATTAGCAGCTAATAGAACTTTAAGCAATTGTAAGTTCGATTTTTCTTCAATACAGTAATTATGTAAATAAAATACTATTGTAGATGTTTGACTACTTGTGTAAAAAATAGTTATCTTGGGAAGAAACATTAGTTGATTGGGCACTTCTCATCACTTTCAGTTTCAAATTTTAAGACGCTTCTAAAATTGTATAGTTAACATTTGTAGCATTTTTAAGACCTGAAACCAATGCAGATAATGAAATTATCACATCAACGAGGGGCTCAAATAACCACTGAAGAGAAGCAAACGCAACAAAAAACGCAAACACCCGGGTCACCAGAGTCACCCCCGAAAACCCAGAATTAGAGCACGACTCCCTACATTTTGGGGCCCACATGTATTTAAATTAATATAAGGCAAAGCAGGTTTTATTTTATATATATATAACATTAAAGGAACATAAGATGAAAAGGTGTACGGGAGCTAAAACTAGGAAAGTATATTAAATGAACGTTTCACTCAGGTTTGACACGAAAAGAACGGGAAACATGCTTAGAGCTCGGCAGGGAGCGCCCCATTTTCTCGCGTTGGTCGAGGCTCAAAGGGTGGCGTTACGTTTTCTTTGGCGCGCCGGTGGCCTTCTCCCACGGCCCTCAGGCTGTGCTGGTAGAGCGACTCGAGCGCCCGCACTCTCTCCGCCCGCTGCCGCAGCCACGCGGCCCTCAGCTCCTCGGCCAGGTTCTGGAGCTCGAGGTCGCGGCGCTGCTGCACCTCCCTCCTGATCTGCAGCGCGATGTACCGCTCCTGCTCTCGGACCTGCAACAAGCACCAACAGGGCGTGCGGTTATCCCCGGCGCTCACCGAGCCTTTCTAAAGCCTGAATTGGCACCGACGTTGTACCAGCTTCGGGGGCTCTTAAAACTTTCCCCCGTGTAGAATGCCAAACCATTTCGTGTGGAAGTGTCTAATACAGCGTTATTCCCATCTGCGTCTGAAGATCACCGATAACATCATCAGAGTAGAGCTTTTCACAAGAAATAAGGAATCAATAAGCCAACGGGATAAAGGCAGTTCGGTTCACTAAATTTCTTGGGAGCAATATAGATTCATCAGGGTATGTTTGAAACCAGTGTTTCAAAGCCATGCAAATATTGCACTTAAAAACAACTATTACCTAAATCAGAAAGTTAAATATTTATACATGCATAGTGAATGAATATCAGTGATATTTTCATAAGACACCTCTAAATCAGTGATCAGCTGGAAAAGTGTGATAGCTGTCCTCCACAAATAGTTTTCCCCCAGAAAGGTTTAGCGCTCAGTATTGAATATTCCTAACTTCGCTTCGTGTTAATGTCGCAGCTCATTCATCAGCAAACTCACCCGACAACTCTGCGATTCAGATTCTTTTGCATTTATGGGAACATAGATACAGTCACGGTGATACTGGCACAATATCTTTCAAGAGATCTATGCTTTCGTCTAGTCGGTGTTGCTGAACATTTTGGAGATAAGAGAACCCGAGGTTTTTGCGTCGAATCAAGTGCTTCGAAATTCAAAGCCTGCTCTCACCTGTTGCAATCTCAGTTTTCGTCTTCTTTCATGTTCTTGTTTTATGAGCTGAGCCTCTTCGTTCGGACTAAGCTTCAGTCTCGCTACTTTCCTTTTCATCGCTCTAGCCTGCAAAACAAATAAGCCATATTATTAAACACGAGAGCAATGCAAACTTGGCCGAGTTTTAAAACACTTCAACTCAAAGCCACTTGATTCACAAACTCACCACCCCCGACATCTAAAACGCATGGATACGGCGTAAAATTCTGCATTAAATTTACCTCAGAAATTCAACAAAAACACGTTGTCGTTTAAAAGCTCGTTAATCCAAAAGATGCTTGTTTTGATAAAGCGTTTAGTAGAGTTAAATATTCCTAACTACTACAGTCGTCCGATTACGGAATACGTTTAATGCGTTACGGATATCAAGCTTTAACGATAAATTCTATTTTTCGGATTGTTTCTGAAACAAGAGGTCTCACTGCAGCCTAAAAGCCTGTTCCTGTATTTTAAACGGCAGTTTGTCGGAGTTGTAAACGTCACATCCTGTATTTAAACAGCCAGCGAAGGGGGAAAGTACGCGGGAAGAGTTCACTCATTGTTCTGTTGCAGGCAGTTTAAATTATGCAGTGTTAAAATATTGTTCATCTAGATCTGACCTATATTCTAAAACTACTTTGTCCCAGAATTTCTACCTTCCGCTCAGCTTTAGTAAATTATATGAAAAAGTCACATGACTACATGCAACAGGCATATCCCTAACTAGCAACGTGTCATTGGTTTTATGCCTTTGTTGTGAAATTAAATATAGATCCTTGCAGACCAAATTTAATTACCACAGTTCATCTGACAATCGTTCAATCAATTTGAACAATTAAGGTATCACAACAATATTATTAATAATCATGAATAATAATTATTATTATCAAGATGACGAGAATCTTTATCCAACAAGACCATAAAAATCCGAAGTACAATTATTAAGAAAGATGTCCCGGATTTAAATGCACCACATTTACCAAACTCACCAGAAACAGTAAGACAAAAGGTGTACAGTGTTGTACAACTAATGTAACAGTAACGTTTAGCACCAAAGCCTAACAACAACATAAACGTGGTCCTAGGGCAAACGCTTATGGGTATTGTAGTTCTTATATCTTATATGTTCGTCCATCTGTTGGAGGATAAACTAATGTTTAATTTTGCCGACTGCAACACAATAGCACAGGTAAAAAGCCCAGATATATAATTATATATATAGAATAAGCACTAAGGCTTGAATCCCCAGAGGGAAACCCCTTCTGCATATTGAAAGGATCTCGCGAGAAATTCTTTCCGGTGAAGTATCGCTGTTTCTCGTGAGACTTGGTGCGTGAGCTGGTGGATGCATTTCCTTCTTAATAAATGTAAGTACAATATTGAACATTCAATCAAATACTTTACCTGTCTAACACAACATACAGTACCAGGAGTAGTTGAATAAATAATACCGTTTTGTATTAGGTGCTGAACTATATTTACTTTAGCAGTATGCGCTTCTCCATGGGGAGTTAGTAGCAAGCTAGTAAATCCGTAGCTTGGACTGTAGAACTGTATTGTTATAGTTACATGTTATAGTATTTCGTTGCCCAAGTTTTATTAGGTTAAATTTAACTGTTTTGCTTATTATTCTGAAAGCTGGGTTTATTTTCTATGTAGATTGTTAAACGTTACACATTACAGTGTGTAACCGTAGAAACTGCTTACAGTATTCTTCGTAACAAAATTTCAAAGAGAGTGGTCTGTATAACGCTGATCTCCAGGTTTTTGTGGTTTTGTGCAAATAGCTCCTATGAAGTAAAACGTCTGTTTGTTGTGAAAATTATTTCCATTCAGTTTGAAAATCGGCGCCTAACCGCTTTTAGAATTTAATAGCATCTTGCAAACAATACTGAAGGTTCTACATACTCACCTTGCAACATGAGCAGTGTGTTTCAATGCGTCTCTCCCTTTTCTTCCTTTTCTTTCATGCAAGCAGCTGAGTGCAATCCTCACCATGTCAGGTGGTCCAGCTGTCCGAGTGAGTATAGAGTCTGCCTGCGAAAAGCAGGTCCAGGAGGTGTCCCTAGATGGGATCGAGACCTATGTCCAGCCCCTGTCAATGTCCCAGAACCTGGCCAAACTCGCCCAACGCATCGATTTTGGTCAGGGGTCTGACTCGGAGGATGAAGGAGGAGAGGGGGAGTCCAGGGACCAGGAGTGGGGGAAACAAGAGGCTGAGGAGGATGAAGGTGAGTGTACAATTTGTTGTTGTGTCTCGCTCTCTAATATGTAGCAGAGGTTAATTGGTTGTTAAACCATATAGTGGTCTCGCAAGGGCAGAGCATCCCTTTTGCAGTGCTGGCTTGCAGAGCAGGAAGAAAACAGCGAGGAAAGTAGATGTGAAGCTGAATTGCAAATATAGTTCACAAGGCAAAACAACCAGGTGACATTTTTGTCAGGTGTGAAGGGAAAGCACTCCTCAACAAGCACAGTATTTGCAGGTATTTGTTCTATGAATTAAATTATGTTCAGTTCTTTTTAGAAAGAAAACTCCCAGATCGAGAGGTGTATTTTAGTAGAATCAGTATTGGCTAGTTTTAAGCTCTACATTTTTGGACTGCTTATTCTATGGAGATTTACAGGAAATATTGCTAGGTAATTTCTTTGACCTGCATAAGCATTTCAAGCCATTAACGTCTGGTGTTCAAGGCGTAAATCCAAACAATGAATGTAGCAGTCGTATTTAGGACCCAGGGGACCTGATTCTATATTAAAATGCACACAGGAAGAAAGTCTAGACAGATTCACATTTTCCGTTTCATAGTACATGATCCCTCCAGAGAGAGGCTGTAAAGTTATTGTAACAAGTCACCATAGGAAATGTCACACTGTAGCAGCTCACAATTTGCCTCCCCTGTGGATAGACACTTTCCAGGTAACTCAAACAAGCAGGAGATTTGACTTAGAAATGAAGTAAGGCTGAGGGACCCTACCTCACTGAAGGACTGTTTTATTTCCCCAGCCACTGTGAAGTTCCAGCCCTCACTATGGCCCTGGGACTCAGTTCGGAATAACCTGCGGAGTGCACTTACAGAGATGTGTGTGCTGTATGATGTGCTAAGTGTGGTCAAAGAGAAAAAGTACATGACTCTGGACCCTGTCTCCCATGACGTCACTGCTGGAAAGGTACACAGTCAAATCAAATCCAGCACTTTGTTAAAATAGGTGAATACAATCATATTGTATTCAATGTGATTCATCCCTAGTCTGCACTTTTCTGGGAAAGGTTAATTATCATGGTTCTCAATTTCTTCTTTAACGTAGAAAGCAATTAAATGATCATTTCTGTTTTGCCGTAGTTTTGAGATAGACGTATGGACTACAAACTGGTTTCAGATTGGAAGAATTAGAACTCAATCATTTGTCTATATAAGAAATATTTTGCAAATCTGACTTGTTCACCTTAATGGAAAGCAAATTTGGAACATGTGCTGGAGGTGTAGCACTGCTCTATGTATAATATTTGGGTTTTCCTGCACTGTCCTCTCATATTTGTTCATCTCTGGAATGTTTATTGTAGACACCCCAGGTGTTGCAGCTTATCGGCAAAAAGAAATCTCTGGCCACAGCAGCTCAACTGCTGCTGAAAGGTGCAGAGAAGCTCAGTAAGTCAGTTGCAGAAAACCAGGAGAACAGACGACAGAGAGACTTCAACTCGGAGCTGCTCAGGCTTAGATCCCAGTGGAAACTGAGGAAAGTGGGGGACAAAATCCTTGGAGACCTCAGCTACAAGAGCGCAGGTATCCACCTTAATACAAATTAGGTTTTGAATATTACATGTTGCAGGATCAGTGAGGTGCTAGGCCTCCGTTTACTGTATCCATTTCTTTGTCAATTTCAGAACAGGAATGTTTTTCGTAACATGACAACCAAAACTCTACAGGGTGTTTTAAATATGGATTGACTAACACATTTTAACACAATTTTAATATTCCTTTTGATAAAAATTTTACTAATTAAACTATATCATTGTTTTTCTTACCAATGTTTTCTAAAGGAATATAATGTTCTCAGTATACAGAAGTATTTGAATTGTTAAGACAAGTCTGATGATTGATGTGTGCATTCTTCAGGATCATTGTTTCCCCATCATGGCACATTTGAAGTCATTAAGAACACAGACATTGACCTGGACAAGAAGATCCCTGACGATTACTGTCCTCTTGATGTTCAGATTCCCAGTGATCTTGAAGGATCTGCTTACATCAAGGTAGGAGATTTACTTTATCATGGGAGTTTCAAATAATTTCCAGTCTGATTTATTATTTATATTTTTAATTACTTTTTTTAGGTTTCTATTCAGAAACAAGCTCCTGATATAGGTGACCTTGGGACTGTGAGCCTTTTCAGAAGACAGCCAAAAGCAAAATCAGGTATTTGATTATCGGAAATGATTTTGTTTAATCATGAAAACTATATAAGTTCTAAACAGTTAAATCAGTAAATCGAATGTCTCACAATCAGTTAAATGATAGACAAATGTGTATTATTGAAATGATGGGAATGAAACACAATTTTGTAACAGCACTTTTCCTTCCCATTCATACATTTTATAATTCCAGGACTATCAGCTCTATACTATAGTTGCTTTTTTCATCAAGTGCAATATGAATGAGTGTGATTGATTTCAAGAATTTCACTGGCACATTTTCTTGTTCTTTCAATGACATGTGGTGTCACTGGTGTCCAGTAAGTTTGTACAATAATTAGGCATGAACAAATGCAAATTGTTCTGGTATTGCTTCGGACAGGTTCTCAGCCCTGGCATGCTAAGCTGGAAGCGGCCCAGAACGTCTTGCTTTGCAAGGAGATATTTGCGCAGCTCTCTCGAGAGGCGGTGCAGATTAAATCCCAGATCCCTCACATTGTTGTAAAGAATCAGATCATCTCCCAGCCTTTCCCAGGTGAGCAGTGCAGCCAGTTATTCTGGAAACCAGTTATCTGTTTTATTAAAAATTGACCATCAGGTGATGAACATCGATAAATTCTGCCACATATTGAGGTAGTTATGAAATTCCTGTGTAAATTACATTGCATCAGAGGGCTTTGGCAAACCTGGTGTTGTCTGTTTGTTTAAAATTGGTCTGTTTATAATGACTTTCTTATCTTCATTAATTAATCCCTCTTATTCATTACCTACCAATTAGAAGATCTTTCTCCGGAGGGTTACAAATGATTAGATTCCAGTAATGGATGCCTATTTAAATGAATACCACATAGGACTGTGTTAGAAAATTCAACTCCTAAGTATTTGTTGTGCTCTTAGGACTGGTTTACTTTAAGGATGTATTGTATAATGGTAGATTTTATTTAGGATTAAGTATTACACTAATTAACAGGTGGAATTTATTTTGAATGACATTAAGGTCTGCAGCTCTCCATTTCATTGTGTCACTCCACCGGTGAAAAGAAAAATCAGAAGGCCTCTCCAGAAAAATCCAAGCCAGACGATCACCTTTATGTGCTTGAACATAACCTCCATCAGCTCATGAGAGAGGTACACGTCTTTGAAAGCTTTTTGAAGTGCTTGTGACAAATTACTTTTAAAGTATTGTAAGAACAAAAACTTTTAAAGTGAGAGATTAGAGGCAGATTGCACAAATTCCTCTGTACCGAAGCTTAGTGCAAAGTGCGTGCTTCAAGTTGTTTTGTACTGGTATTTTTTTGTTAACATGATTATTTGATATTTAAAGGGGAACAGTAGTACTATTTTAAGATTTCAGGGTTAGAAAGAATCAGCATTGATGGGTGCATTTCAAACCGCAATTAAAGTAAAACGGACACAGTAACTTATAAAACCTCTAATTTACAACCCAAATTAGACAAAGTTTCTCGGTATGCATAGTGCAATATTACCACCATTGTCTGTGATTCAGAAGGGCTTCAAGACAGTTTTGCTGAGAGATGCTACTTGTTAACTCTGCATGCAGATCATGTTGGAACTTTTCTGCATGGAGATGTCTGCTGCACAGCCTGTACTTATTTGCTTGTACATCACATTAATTAGTTGTTACAGTGACTTGTGAGCAGGAAGGGATGTTTCGTGTCGCAAATTTGCACCAACACTCACTCTCGCCTGTGGCAAGACCAGTGGTTTGACACAATGACGATTTTACAGGACATTCACAAAGTTCAAGAGTTTGTTTGATTTGAAATTTGTAAAATGTTTCTATACTGTCAATGTATTTATTGTGTTATCAGGATTAAACAACTAGTCTATGAAATTGGGGCTGCAATTCCCCTTTAAGAAGTAATTTCCAAGTTTGTTTTTGAAAAATGCTACTACTAAATGTATACTGTAGATGTTTTCATCTTGTATAAAAAGTCTGAATTGTTATAACAATGTTTGAATAACAATATATGCAAATTTAAGAATGTAAACATTTTCCTGTCCCATTTTGTATTCATATAAGCTGTCTTGTATAGATTCATCTGTGTGTACTGTCTATGCTGAAGTATTCTTTTTTGTAGTTTCACAAACAGACCCTGAGCTCAGCGGTAATGCCGCACCCTGCTAGCGCCCCCTTTGGACACAAAAGGCTGCGCCTTGCCGGGCCTATGGCCTTTGATAAAGCAGAGATCGCCTCCCTGCAGCAGAATGAAGGGCTCCTGGAGAAGATTATCAAACAAGCAAAGCACATTTTCCTCAGGCGCAGGTCGGTGCAATGCAGCAGAACTTTTTAAATAATGGAAGCCCAGGGAATCCCTGCTGTTTTGCAATACAGCCGCTGAGTTTTTCTTTTTCCTTTCATTCACACTGTGTGTGTGTGTGTGTTTGAAAAGATAACGAACAGCTCTTCAGAAGTCTGGTTTTAGAAATGAGCTAGCTCCTTCTCATGAGCTGTGATAACCATTTTATTTCCCCTGCTGTATTGCCTGTATAAGCAGCATGTTGTTCTGGTAACTTCTAGCCTTATTGTAGTAATTTCCATTCATCAGATGTGACCATCTAACCTATGAAAAATACTTCTAGATCTGTTTTTATGTTTATTTTTTTGTCTAGGACGGCACGAACAATAGACAGCCTGGCCAGCCGTATTGAAGATCCGCAGATTCAGGCTCACTGGTCAAACATTAATGATGTTTATGAATCCAGTGTTAAGGTTTTGATTACCTCACAGGGCTATGAGCAGATATGCAAGTAAGTACTGCTGATAATAGTATTTAAATTCCTTGTCTGTAGAAGCTGGTTAAAATCGGCATTTCATATTCTAAAACATTTTAATTGAAATGGCTCGTATCCAACCATCCGTTTTCAGTAAGTGCTTAGTCTTTGAAATCATTGCAGTGAAGTTAAACCTTACCCAGCAGCCCATGCATACAGGATACCCTCTAGGTGGAATGACAGTCTATTGTAGGTTACTCAGGTGTAAGTGCATGTAGGGTACAATTTAGAGCTCCACACGGACGCATCCCAGCCAGGAGTGAGCTGTGAGACAGCAGTGCTAACCACTACACTGCCCGCTGCCCTGGTTAATTTTACATAGCCAAATGTACGTTTTATATTATGTAGATTACATCTAGAATCACTGCTGACTTTGGTAATATATTAAAACTTTTGAATTATATTAATTGTATGTATAAAGCAGTTTTCCCCATTATGAGATTCAGGGGCGTGCTTCAGGACAGAAAGATTTACCAGAGGCTGTGTTTTGGGCAGGTCTATTCAGTTGCAGCTAAACATTGGTGTGGAACAGATCCGCGTGGTGCACAGAGATGGCCGGGTCATCACTCTCTCTCACCAAGAGCAGGAGCTGCAAGACTTCCTCCTCTCTCAGGTCCGTCCTCTTAGTCTAGCAGTCACTCCAACACACTCAGAGAATAATATATATAGCAAGCATTGTGGCAATTAAAAAGTTATGAGAAACGTAGGCTAAATCCTAAATTTCCTTTAGCGGGATTTTAAACTTTGCGTTGACTCTTATTTCCAGATGTCCCAGCACCAAGTCCATGCGGTGCAGCAGCTGGCCAAAGTGATGGGTTGGCACGTGCTGAGCTTCAGTAACCACGTGGGCCTGGGCTCAGTGGAGAGCATTGGCAATGCCTCCGCCATCACAGTGGCCTCACCCAATGGAGAGTTTGCCATTTCTGGTAGGAAAACTGTATCCGTTTCGCACCTGTTGGTATGATAGTTATTGTGTCAGACTTAATAATAAATTGTTGAACTGTTCTGCAATGCTGCTACTTTTTTTTTTAAAACTAGTTTACAGACTTGTTTTACACACTATTTACTCAACAGTTTCCCATTGTTATTCATGTAATGGAGTTTTACTATGTTTTACTGATATTACTACACTAGGTTTTTTTTGTAGTCGAATTTCAGTAAGTGTAGCATGTATGCTATCTCGTGTACAACGGTTGCTTGGGATTTTTTTTTTTAAACTGAATGCCCAGTTGTCTTCATTCTGACAAAATTGCATGTTAATTATTTATAGCAGAAATGCTAAATTGCATAATTTGCAAAGACGTTCAGAGACTCTGTCTTCTGTGTGATTACAGTTCGTAATGGGCCGGAGAGCGGCTGTAAAGTCATTGTGCAGTTCCCCCGGAGCCAGTGCAAGGATCTACCCAAGAGCGACGTCATCCAGGACAACAAATGGAACCACCTGCGTGGGCCCAGCAAGGAGGTGCACTGGAACAAGATGGAAGGACGGAACTTTGTGTACAAAATGGAGCTTTTGATGGCAGCTCTCACCCCGTGCCCATAAATCGGCTTTTTGTACAGAGACAAACGAGAACCTCAAGTTGGGTGAAGAGCTGAGAAATCTCATCTCCTGTGAAACTTAAAGTAACGAACTCCTTGATTTGGGGCTGAGAAAAAAGGACTCGTCTGCCTCACTCTTTTTTTGGCTTTCCTTTCTTTCTAGATCAATTAACTGCAATATATTAAATTGTGTTCAAACTTTCCTTGCAGTTTTTCTTATACCTACTTGCAGTCTTTTCAAAGATGTACTGACATTTTGCAGTGAAGGCCGTGAAGATCTCAACATTAGCTTGACACATTATCTATGATGTTCAACACAATGTTGCAGTTAGATGTGACAGCTACAGAGTGATTAGAGCTGAGAATATTGAACACCAGGAGTGTGAGGTAATGCAGAATGGGCTGTAAATTTTTATCGTATTCTAGATTAGAAATTAAAACTTTTTTTAGAATTGTCCTTATTTAAGTTGTGATATTTTGGGGGTCAGGTGAGTTGGAAAACCATTTTTTTAAAACTTTAGAACATAAGCTTGACCCATGTGTGCCAAAATGTACTCCTTTTATGAAAGTAAATTTAAACTTGGTTGTTCTAAAAATTCAGTCTACATCTACAACAACATCTTTGAAAGTATGTCAGCCTAAGGTGCCTCTGATGCTGATACAGATTTGTGTTTGTGGACTACAAATGGATGACCAAGAAAACTAGGTGTAGGTGAAAGTTTATCTTTTTATAAGCTGGTAGATGTATTGCAAATTTATTTGTATATACTTCTCATGTTTCTGTAAAATAGTTTGTCTTGACTGTTCACAATGTTTTTGCAAAGATATAAGGCCTAAATACACCTGCCACAATTCAAACAACAAATTCACTCCCTTATAATATCTCTGGCATTGGGTCCAGTATATATACTGTATATAATGAGGGCTGCAACATAATGATGGAGAGAGGAATATAAAACAAGATACTGTGCAGTTCCCCCGTCCTGGAAAGTTGATAAATTGGGTGGACTATGTCTCATATAAATGAAGGCACTGTATTACTTTGTCAATTAGAACGAGCACCTACTCTGTGCTGTAGAGCCATAACAGAAGTAATGACTTGCTTTCTACATCATTATTATCAAAACCAATTATATTACCAAACATAAATTAAAGGAAATCTGTGACATGTTAAAGTATTGTAGTCAGTACAATGATCCTATTCTGTTATGTTCATTTACATTACATTTTTATTGCTAGATTTCTGAGTGAAGCATCTGAATTTCTGTTCATCAATGAGCCATCCACCTGGTTTGTTTGCCGTCTTTTGTCCCATGACCTCTAGCTGTTCTTCTGCAGTCATGATGTCATTCACATTTTTGTTTTGTAAATGGTACTGTATGCAATCTTACAGCACACAGTCAACAATTAGAGTTCAGATTTGTGCAGAGAGCCAGCTCTGAAGTTGAAGTATGTCAAGAATCAATACAATGATGGGTGGTTTTATCTATTGTAAAACTATAAAATCAATACAGTTTGTTTTTTGGAACTAGTGGTAAAGATCACAATAAGTGAGTGAACAGGTGAGAATGAATCCAACTGTACCGCTACAGAGAAAAATGCCATTGAATCCTGCTTTTCTGTATTTTTCACTGGAAAGGTAGGGATGGAATTGACCGATCTGGAGAAAGTTTAAGTGTAGAACAGTTGAAACCTGATTTAAAAAAAGAAAGGGAAAAATAATGATTGCTCTGCAAGAATAACTCCTTAAAAGGCTGTCCGTTTTCCTTTTGTGTCATCTGTCTGACCACGGATGTATATGGTCTAATTTCTAGGAATTTGTGCCAACCGATTTTAGTGTAGATTACATTGCATTTGCAGTGTGGGAGCTTTAATTTGGAAATGCTTAGCAGCTAGAGATTTCTCATTGAAGAGAACAATGTAGACAGGTGATGTAGTGGCTACGTGACTAGTGCGTTAACTGAAACTGACATTCTTGGTGGAAATTTGTTAATTTTGTAGGAAAATGTAAATCATGAGATGAATGAAAGCTATGGTGCCCTTTACTTGCAAGGAATGGGTAATGTTTCTCTGTCCATTAAAAGCCTTAGATAAGAAGATCTGTTGAAGTTAAACAGAGATGAAAATGAGGTTATGCACTTAAGACAATATTGCTTCATTTCATTTTCATTGGAAAGTTTGAGAGCAGATGGATAAGAAAAACTTAGATTTGCTGAAATACTGTGCTACTGTACCTAATCAAGTCATGAAGTTTGATTTTGTGTGAGTATCTCTGAATGTTGCGTTGATTTACAATAAAGTTGTAAATCAACAATTTTTACTTTTTAGTGTAACTACAATTTCAGTCACAGCAGCATAGTTGTGACAGTACTTGGGAAAATATCACCAGTTTTAAATTAGATTACACTTAATCTAAGTTATAAATGTACTTATTACTTCAACTGAAGTTGAGTCCAGTACTAATATATCAGTACAATACACCACATATTATGTAGATACAAATACCCTTTTTTTCTGTTTACCAAAGACATTAGAACATAGTATACAAGTACTAGCAGGTATTTCTATACTGCTATTTTTGGGGGGTATTTTTCTACGTCAAATTCTCTAATTTTCTCTATGGTTACTCTTGCCAACATCCCAATCTTTCACTTACAAGAACATAAAGCAGTCTTCCAGAATTAACTTAAAAAGTCTTATCTGAAGAAAATCAGCGGTATGTTTATCTAAAATGTGTCCTTTCTACAGTTTATTCACGGGTTGGGTTTCTTAATTGTGCTGTTCTTGGTGTTGAAATTCTGACAATTGCACAACTTGAATTAACTAAACAAACTCAAGTTAAATCCCATGGAAGCTATTTTTGGAGCTGATGCTTAAACACACCCAGAAAATGACCATTCTTTCCTCATTAGGCTTTTGGGTCTGCACTCTTGAACTTTTGATGAATGGGGGGAAGCTTAAACAAAAATGAGTCAGATGAAAGAAGGTGTAAGTTATAAAAGGTGAGCAAGGTATGTGCACTCCTTCAAAATAAATATTGATAAACTTCTTCCCATATGCCTTTCATTCGCAGCATGTCTATTAGTTCAATAGTCTTTTATGTAGCCCTGTATTCACAGTGCATTTCCTGCAAATGTAGTAGCAACATTTTTTTTCAGAAAACTAAATATTCACACAAACCATCCACAAAATGAGTGGTACAATTTATAGCTTTTCAATTTTCACAGTTTTCACACTCATTGTGGTGAAAGTTATTGTGAATTTCTAGTAAACCCTTCATGAATGTACGGTAGTAGTGAAAGCCTAAAGAGTACTCTGTTTTTTTCACTCTGCTTCTGACTTTAATTTAGCAAATTAATTCACAAGACAATGTTGTTTTTTTTTTAGATCTTGTAAGTTGATAATTGAAAAGTACCTGCAAATAATTCAACTTGCATCCCCCATCACAAAGGCCATTATTCTGTACAAACTGAGGGAATTGTCGTTTATGTGCGGTAGGGTATCCTCTTACCAGTACTTAAGTGACCTGCCCAGGATTGCTGTTTCTCATTGGGTGTTATGACAAAACTATTTCCCACCAAGTAGGCTCAAATGCACTTGCAAATGAGATTAAAAGGAGTTTTAAACATGTTCATCAATGAAAAACCTGCAACTCACACTCCTCCAGGCACCATCCAATCAACTCAATCATGCTCACCTGTTCCTGGTCAGCTCAGCCTGTTTAGGTTGAGAAGAATTAAGCACAGTGCAATGGATGGTAATTGACATGGTTGTGATTAGCAGGTCTTGCCTTGATGAATAGGACTGATAAACTTAAATAAATACATACAGTTTGTAGTTCAAGTAGGCAGCTGCATCAGCATGCATAGGCTGCAAAGGAACCCGTGAGCCAAAGAACGCACAACAGCTGAAACGTTTCCTTTCTTCTCTTTTCAGCATGGAATAAACCTTTACTTGTTCCTTTGCAGCCTACGCATGCTGACGCAGCTTCCCTACTTGAACTACTTCAGCCTGCTTGTGCTGCGACCCACTATGCCTTCCTCTACATCTTTTTCTAGATCTCTTCGTCTTTCCTTCTCCTCCTCCTTGGGCTACCTGCCCCCTTCTCTCACCAAACCAGCATTCCGGACGTTTTGTAAGCTCTTTAACCATGATGGGGTAGGAGAGCCGGAGTCTGTCACAGCAAAAAACAGGAGCAATACTCCCTGGACGAGACACTAGCCCATCACAGGGCACATACTCATAGCAGGGCAATTTTACTAGAAGCCAATTAACATACCATTGTGTCTTTGGACTGGGGAGGAAACCAATGCAACCCTGGGGTGAACATAGTAGGCCAAGTGAGGCCCTGTGAGGCAGCAATGGTATCCATTGCCTTCCTGTACCTCCTGAGTGATAAACTTAATCATCTTACAGCTGTTAGAGATGCAATCTTAAATGTATTTATTTCTGCAATTGGCATTCTTTGTCCAATCTTAGACAAAGAAATAAAAAAAACGTTCCTTAGATTTGTCTTACAGATTACAGCATAGTGCAAATTGCAATTTTGCAAAGCCTAAGTTTTCTAAAGTTTGGTACCCTTTTGCATTAGCTATTGTTTTTGAATAAAATGATTGCTGAGGTGTGTATTAGTCAGATAAGCTAATACATTTGTCTAGCAAATGAGCAAACGCAGGCTGTGTTTTTTTTTAACACAGTGGCCAAAGAAATGTGCATGTCCAAAAATAGGAAAAATAAACATAACCTGCGTGATGTTATACAATGGATATATCTGAATAAGACAGATAAACTCTATGTAGTGTTTTTTTATTTAAATAAAACAATTCAAATCAGATTTGCGTTGCTTCTGTTTAATTAGCAGTCTGCCCACTGTGGACTGTACTTTCAGATGGCTGTGATAATGATCCATGGGGCTTATCAGCATTCATCAGCGTCTCACTCGTTCTTTGCAAAACACGAGAGGAAATTGAGGACATGCGCAATGAAATGGGGATAAAAAAAGTTTGTTCCTCAGCTGGTTTGTTCAATTGCTTTTCATACAATAAAGCATGTGTTCATGGTGTCCACATATAAAGAATCCGGTTTTAATGTAGAGAAAGGGGAAAGCACATTTGTGATCACTTCAGGTGATCAGCTATCCTCCTTGCTGATATGTGATTCACTTTCTCCATCAAGTGGTTGCAGCTCAATGACCTCTTGTTCTGTAAAATAAATACATCCAGTCCAGAATAAGTAAAAACATTGTTGCAAACACACGTTTCTTTATGAATGGATGATTACAGTTATGAATCTTAGTATAGTAAAATATATAATCTTTTGTACAATTACTGTGGTGTTGTTCCAGATTTTCTAGTGGGACAATGTAGAGTCAGGTGGGTAGCTGCGTCAGCATGCGTAGGCTGCAAAGGAACAAGTAATAGGTTTATTCCATGCTGAAAAGAGAAGAAAGAAAACACAACAGTTTGGCTGTGGAGCCACCTTCAGGGGTGAGCTCACAGGTGAAGAAGGCTCCACGGTCTAAACGTTTTTATTTTATTTCTTCTCTTTTCAGCATGGAGTAAACCTATTACTTGTTACAATGTAGAGTTGCTGCTTTGGCATATAGTTTGGAATGGTTATTTTGTATGCAGAGTTAAGCTTTATTTCCTTGAATATGTCAACAAAAAGAGCGTTTGTGAGAAGCAGGTCTCATGAAATTTTCCTTATTGGAAAACAGCCAAGTGTTAAAAACCACACCCTCCTGATATACTAAGCTCTTTCAGAATTCTAGATTTCTGAGATGTTTTGCAGTTCTTTGAGGCAGTTGCACTATACATAGTTATTTAAAAAAAAAATCTAGCAGAAACATTTGGCATGACTAATCTCACAGAAATTTTTAAAACGCAGTCTAGCATGGCTACACACTAAAGCAACTATACTTTTTGTATCATATCCTCTAGTACAGGGGCAAGCACTGCTCCTGCAGTTCCATAATCCAGCAGATTTTGGGGGTCACCTTTAAATCAACAACTGCTAGATACTGGGAACAGTTTCATTTCTTTAGCATAGGTTGATCTGAACTATTAAGTAGCGATTATCTGACAACAAAATGCCAGCTAGCAAAAATGGTTCTGTAGATCTGAAGGCATGCATACCATACTTGGCTTAGTTGAATCAATTCATTTCCTAAATTGATCGGAACTCACAACTGTTCCAAGACTTTACAAATTGATGATTGACTGTGGACAGGATTGACAGGAACAGGATTGGCCAAACCTGCAGTAGTGCATAAAGAAAATCGCTTTCCTTGTTTTGCTTTATTTGCCTTAAATCAAATGTATACAGTAGGTTACCTATCTGTCTTCTGTTCCGTTGCTTCAGTTTTATCCTGTTCACAACTTTATCCAATAACCACATGGACAACATCAAAAATCCTGCTATGGCTCCGAGAGCTGTAATGAAGACAGCTAAAAAATGTAGGTCCTCATAGAGGTTCTCTATAGGAAGAATAGAAAGAAATTAGGAATTAACTAGAGTTGCTGCATCACATTGTTAACCACAATCTATGTATCCCCATAGAATACAAGTTTTATAGTTTACTAGAATGAAGAGTCACTACACCATTGGTTTCCTCTTCATCGCTACTGCACAAAAAAGGAAAACACTAGGACTCAACAGCAAACAGAGGACACAGGTGAGTGTCCTTAATACTTGATGTGTTCTACGCTCGGCGTGTTTACTTACCGGTAACTTTTAGTATGATGACAGCATCCTTACTGGTTCCAGAGGGTTCTGTCACAGTTATCACATAATATCCAGAGTCTTTTAGGCTTAGGTCTTGCAGCATTATAGAGCCATTGTCGTATGTGTGCAGTCTGTCTTTGTAAGCATCGGAAATGTTCTCATACACTTCAGGCTGCCAGACAACGATGCTCTGGATTCTGGATACGGACATAAATCTCCACTGAATGGTTGGAGTTCCCCAGCACAAGTAGGCCACAGAGAACAGTACATCATCCTGCACTGAGGCATTGATACTGAGGTGAGGGGTTGTTATGGTGACCGCTTCAGCTACAAAACAGAAGCATGGTGAGTACAGTTAAAATCTTAAAATTAACATATTGGTGCCATGTTAATATAGCTCTAATGGTTTATAATGTTTTCCTTTGTTTCCACCAGAAACACCAGGAAATAAAACACAAATGTCACCCAATCTTCTACATCAACACAATTTTCAAGCAGGCCCTGGAGGATTTCTAGGTCTCTTAGAGACAGCAGCACCTGAATAGCTGGGAGATGTAGTTAATTGGTCACTAACAATTAAAGTAACAATAAGAAGATTTAGGTAATTAAAAGTCGATCTTTTAAACCTGCAGACACACCTACCTTGCAGGATCACAATTGCCCTGCTCTAGTTGCATTTTGTATTTCTTGGATACTCTAGCATGATGGAGATTTTCTATTTTACCTCTTCAAATGAAATTATAATTTATAGAGAGCTTCTCCATTATACATAACAAAGGCTACAAACTCATATGGCTGCTAGGAGATTCAGCTATTTCTTAAAGGAACCTAGGCCTCCAGCATAAATAATATGGTTGGGAACCTTGATCCAGACTTTATCTAATGTAGAGTCTCCTCTTGTTTTTACACATGTCCTCTAGGGTAATATTTTTCTGCCAAAAATACTCAGACTAGAACTCCACTTGGTATAGCTGATTAGCTATATTTCTAAAATCCAATGAAAGAAATATGAACCTCATTAGAATTACATGCAATACAGTCTTATGATTCATAATGGCATAGGCCTTCAATTTTGCAATTTTTTAATAATGCAGTTTAGACTGGTTACATAAACAATTCTCCTTATTTTGAAATGTAATCTTTCATAATTTCTTCACGCAAGAGGCATACTCCTTTTTTTCTGCATGTGGTGAATTTCAGAAACCTTCAGTAAACAAATCCTTTCTTTAATTCAAAATGCAACACTGAATACACTGAGGGGGCCTTGTCGATAAGGACAGAGGAGTGACTGGTTGTGGAAACCTATAGTGTCTTCTGGCATTCTTTCCAGCTGAGCTCTGAATTACTTGGATTAGTGGATCAATCAGATTTTTAATGAGGATGAGCTAACAAACTTTACAAATCTGCTACTTCATCTATCGATTAAAAGACAAATTTAATAAAGTCTGCAGGACCTCTCCAGGAGCTGGGTTCCTGTACAGCCCTGCTCCAAAGCAAACATTGCCCCTGTTTTTCTGAAAGAAACTGTCACCTTTTGTTGGTGAACTGACCTTCTATTAGGAGACGAGATATTAGTGAAAAACAGTGACTTTTATTGATACTTTCTATCTATTCAAGGTACTTCTATAGGTAATAGGGACTCCCTTCCACTACCACCAATGTGTAGCCCCCACCTGGATGATGCAACGACAGCCATAGTGCACCAGTATGCTCACCACACATCTCCTATTAGTGGGGAGGAGAACAGAGTGATGAAGCCAATTCAGAGATGGGGACTATTATGAGGCTATGATTGGTAAAGGCTAAAGGGAAATGAAGCCAAGACATTGGGGCACCCCTACTATTTTGGAGAAATGACCACGGAAAATCGGGACCTCGGTTTTATGTCTCTTCTGAAGAACAGCACCTTTTTTACAGTCTAGTGTCCCCATCACTATACTGGGGCATTAGGACTCACACAGAACGCAAGGTGAGCGCTCTGGTCCTACTAACGCCTCTTCCAGCAGCAACCTTAGCTTTCCCAGGAGGTCTCCCATCCAGGTACTGACCAGGCTCACACCCACTGAGCTTGTGGGCTTCCAGTTGTGATTTACAGGGCAAAATTAGCTGCTGGCTGTATTAAGACATGTCCAAACTTACTAAGAGCCAAGTAAACAGTGTGAAAGGATGGAAATTTGTGAAAAGCATGATAAAAACCATGGGAAAGCTACAAACAAACCATGCAAATATGCTGCAGGACAATTTGGTTGTGTATTTAGATTTGGAGATAAAACACCTCTTATAAATTTTTGTCGGGATCAAGAAGCTTTGAGCGTTGTCCTGTTTTTTTCTTTTCTTTGGTAACCTCAGTCTTGTCTAATTCTTACATGTATGTTGTTAGAAACGGACTAGTTCATGGCCGTAACTTTGCTATATCAAGAGAAACTGTATGAAAGTAAAATAGAAACACAAACAAGTGGTTACCATGGAGTTTTATGTAAACTCTTCTTAGAAACAATGGGATAAATGAATGGAATGTATTTCATTTCTTAAAGTAATTCCAACAATAAAATATAAACATTCCCTGAATGTAATAAAAAATAAAGCTAAATGGGGAAAATCTTGTTTCAGTACTAACATCACTCAGTTTCAATAGTCATTACAAACATTTTAAGTAGATAAATAAAAAAAGATATTCAACTATCTCAGAAAGTAGCTTTCATTCATTTAGATTTGTCTAAAAATCCACGGAGCTTTGAAAATCAATGTCAGATTGTTGTTGTTTGTCAGATCAATATTCTAATATAAAACAAAATTGTTCTTTAGTAATTTTTCTTCTGTATTTTTACAAGACTCTAGTACACAGATTTCACTTTCGGATGAATAATGTTTGTCATCAATCATGCAGCTAGCAGTGGAATATTAATGCTGTTTCTGAAGCCGACACTGAAAAATGAATGTACTTGTTAAAATAGAATCCTATTTTGCAAATAGATATTTATTTATATTTTTAATAATCATAATTCTAGAAATTCCGATTTCTTGAAAGTAAATCAAAGGGTGTTTAGTATAAAGTTTTCCTGATAAGGATCATTTACCGCCATAGAGACACAGCTTATGAGCCTCTATGAAAAAGCAATAACACAGGCTGGTGGTAATCGCATTCAAAATTGTCTGCCACCATGTTCTGCTCTAAAAATCAACATGTCTGCCTCAAGCACTCTTTACCATGAAGTGAGAAAAGTAGGGACTAAAACTATTCAGATTTAGGAATTTATTGTTTGTCCCCTTAGAGTACAGATAATGAACAAAAACTTGTTTGAATGTTATGTTTGCAATAAGGGAGCATATTTCATCTTGCAGAAATCAGTTATACAGTAGCTAGGTAATTTCCTGTTTCTCTAAGAGGGATACATTTATATAAAGGAACAAGTAATAGGTTTATTCCATGCTGAAAAAAAGAAGAAAGAGAACACAACGTTTCGGCCGTGGAGCCTTCTTCAAGAAGAACATTGTGTTTTCTTCTTCTTTTTTTCAGCATGGAATAAACCTATTACTTGTTCCTTTGCAGCCTACGCATGCTGACGCAGCTACCCACCTGAACTACATTTATATAAAGACACTTTTCTATATAGAATCTCTGTTGGTCCATTGAGAGATAAGAAAAATTGATGCATTTGATCATTCTTAAATGAAAATAATTTGCCTGTAGTGTACTTAAGTAAATTATAGCAACAGAGCTGTGAACAGGTCTAAATGATGGTTCTCAAGCCATTTATGAGCTAACAGGCTATTACACATAAAAAGCAAAATGTTCATCACATCTCTATTGTTTCATAATCTAAATGTATTCAATAACAAGCGTGCAGTGAGACAGAGGCAAGAAAATGAGAATTCCTGGAGTGAAAAGTTAGCGTTAACAAATCTGTCACAATTGAAGTACTCTTCACCTAATTACAAATGACTTTTGAGATACTGAACTCCCAAAAAATAGACCACAATTTTTCTTGAAATAAGAATTATATACTATTCCTGACTGTATATATCTTTCTCTTGGAAGATGCAGAGTGGTCCTGTTGAAGTGTGATTTCACTCTTAATGTATACCATTCCACAAGTACTTGTGGCATTACTTGTGGAGTAAAAGCAGCAGTGAATCTCTGCGCTTTCATTGTGGTGAAGCAGTGGAAGTAGAATTGATTGCATTTTAAACCCCTGAGAGATGCATTTAATCAGAGGACATACTGGGCCACAGTCTCAATTTAAAAGGCCGAATAGAAGAGAATTTCATGTTAATTTTTTTATTTAATTCAGGGTTTGAACAGGACTACTTTTGAGATGTGCTAAGAACAGTGTGATTTCAAAACTTAACATGGAATACTCACAGAGAGTGTAGCTCCTAATAAGGCAGCTTCAGTGATATTTTGATATCACTACTTTTGGGTGCACAGTTATAGAACATCATTATCTAGAATCTTTGCAGTTAATTTGGGTGCATGGTGTATATACTCTAAAGTCAATTTAGTAAACAGAAGTTTAACCCAGAACTAAAAGGAAAACTGGTTTAACTAGCTGAGGAAATGTCTGCTGCTGCAATTAACTGCTAAATTCAGTTGTTAATGTATACCTGGGGTGTGGGCTGAATCAGAACCAGCACAACAAGCTACAGAAAGTGCAAATGTTGTTGTGATAACATCAGAGTATTTGTTACATGCAAGAAATATCTCTGGGCTTTGCTGGCTTTTTTAATCAATACTTAATCATCGATTCAATTCAACACGAAGAGCTAGCCGGACAACCACATTTTACTCTGGCTTTTATAAGTGATCATTACCGTTCAACCAGTTTTGAAAATAGTTTTACAAATCTTGATTTTCTGGTAGCTTTGGTAGGCTGATGAAACAGGAAACTACAGAGCGAGTTTACATTGGCATTGGTGGTTGTTACACTTACCCTGCAAACAAAAGCCCATGTAACACAGCACGAAGATAAGAATGAGAGTGGATTTGTTCCAGTCGCTCTGGGTCCTCATCAGAATGCAAGGTCCATTTAAACACTCGCAAAGTACTTCTGTGAAGTCATTCTTAAAGCCTTCTTCTTAAACTCAGCCACTTCTAGACCAGCTGGTGCTGTTCACACATTTCCTTTCAGAGACCTCACAGTTCAAACAGGTTTCCTTGAGCATACCTATGCTATGAAGTTGGCAAGTAGGAGGGGAGCACTCTGAGCGAATAGGGTCTGTCACAGTCTCAAACAGACACACCCAAGACTCAGTCTGATCCTGCCAGGAAGTGTCTGCTTTCAGCTCACATGTACAACGCTCTTCTTTGCACACATTCCACCTTTTCTACATAATGATCACGACAAAAGCAAAATGCAGCCTTTTCCAAAAGTTTTCGGATCTGCAGGCAGTGTACAGTATGTAATACTGCATGAGAGCGTGCTGTATTTGTACTGTGGCTTTCATTTGTATAAGTCCTATTCGTTTCAGCTCAAAGACTGATTTGCCTGCTCATTGAAAATCCAGAGTGTTGAACAATTAAATGAGTTCTCTTAGAATTTGTACTTTTGGTTCAGTGGAAGTACTGGTTAGCGTAACATTTTTGATCTATTGTTACATTTTATTTTCTCCAGACAAAAAAACCTGTTTGATTCTCTTCAAATGCTGGTATGTGTCCTGGCTTAAGGAATGTAAAGAGCTCAGTTTGCTTCAGTCAAAGTATGCGGCTTGAGCAGTCAGTGCTCATACATTTGGTTGTCTCGTATTCCCACACCAGCCTTGGCAGACAGAGAGGAGTCCTAATTGTTGATTAAAAATATGAGGAGGTCTAATTCTTATTTACTGTTTATAGCAGCTATAACTCTAACCACAGTGAAAGGGCTGAGCAGCACTTCACACTCACAATCAAATAAATCAAGATAATGAGAAAAGAAGGCATTCTGCTTTACATTCCAAATAAATCACAAATCCCATTAGTATTTTAGAGGAAAAATAAAGGAATACTTTAACTAAAATAAGTGCTGAAACAAACAGTATAAACCACCAGAAAATAAGGTGTACGTTCAGGAGCTATATCACATGTACCCTGCAATTCACAACAGGCAGCACACGCTTGGATGGGAGACCACCTGGGAAAGCTAAGATTGCTGCTGGAAGAGGTATTAGTGGGACCAGTAAGGGGGTGCTCATCCTGTGGCCTGTGTGGGTCCTAATGCCCCAGTATACTGTAAAAAAAATTATGCCATCCTTCAGATTAGAAATAAAACTGATGTCCTGATTTTCCATCTTTATTAAAAACCCCAGGCCATTTCTCAAAAAGTGTAGGAGTGTTACCCTGGTGTCCTGGCCAAATTTCCCTGGACTTCACCAATCATGGCCTCCTAATGAGTCCCATTTATAAATTGGCTTTATCACTCTGTTCTCCTCCCCACTGAGAGCTGGTGTGTGGTGAGCATACTGAAGCACTTTGGCTGCCATTACATCATCCAGGTGGGGGCTGCACATTGGTGGTGGTGGAGGGGAGTCCCCATTACCTGTAAAGCACTTTGAGTGACGTGGACAGAAAAGTGTTATACAAATGTAAGGAATTATGAATTATTATTAATTGTGTCAAACCAAATCAAACTCATCAAACATCACACAAAGACAAAAAGTTCCTGAAAAGACAGCATCTTAAGACTGGGCTGAAGACATTTTGATTTTGCAGTTAAAACTTAGATTTATTTTATGTTTCTCTGAGGTCAAGATCTGTCTGTAACTCACATAAACAGAACAATTGCTGCATTCCAGACCTAGAGAAGGTGAGAAATTCTACTAGATGGTGAAAGACATTAAGTGAAGACAATGAAGTGTTAATTTACAAAGTCCTGACAGAGTTAAAAAGTCTGGCTGAAAATAAAAATGGGCAAGTAAAGACTGTACCACAAATGGAAAGAAAGGTTAAAGTTGTTACAAAAGAAAAGAGAGGAGGGCACTTTGCTCAGGAAATAAACAAGAAAGCAACATTTACATTGGGCGATTGCTACAGTACAGCACAGCAACAGTACATGCTCTTCTAAGATTTAAGAAATAAAACAATACAAATAAAGCAAAATGGGCAAATCTGCACATTTCAGTTCTTCTCAGAATTCTGTTTGTGTCTGCAGAGGCACCTAACCTGGGGATTATCAGAACAAAGAGAAGCCACTGAACAGCCAAAATCCATAGTTGTCATTGTCAGACCCAATCCCATTGTTCCAAAGACAAGTACTGAGCACGTCAACAGCCTCAGCACTTAATTTACAGATGCCTGCAGGGAACAAACAACAACAGCGGTGATATTGGATAGCTGTCACTTATTTAGCATAGATTTATTGATAGCCAAATTAGAAGCGACTGTGGTTTTTCAGAATGTTTTTTAATATCTTCCTCACTCAGCACCACAAACGATGGTCTTTTACTCATACTGTTGTAAAGTTGCCAGGTTTTTTTTTTCCAGTGCTTCTGAGCACTATAGGTAATACCAGACTTTAAATGCTTGTCTATTATCTCAGGGCAATGATCCGGCACTGTTGGTATTCTGGGGTAGGTTGGATTGTACATTATCTTATTGCCATTGTAGAGAAATACAAGTTGACAGGGCTGTTATCATCAATTCTAAAGATAAAAAGAATAGACTGCATGCTCAACTGCTTAATCATCAAGCATAATTGAGCCTGCAGTTTATCATGGTTTGAGTGTTATGAGCAGCTTCAGTTTTGGCTATTTGAATGCTGGCTACAGAAGCTGTGTGTAAAATTATCCTGTGACCAGAAAAATATTGTGGTATTTTGTGACTAAAAACAGCCTATTTAGAAGTTCACCACCTATTTAGAAGTATCACATAACCTTGAAGTCTGGGAATGGGCAAAATGCAATATACTGTATAAAAAAAACCTGTGAAAAACATTGAAACAGAATACAAAAAGATATGAAACGGACACATTCCAATTGTGGATTAAAATGCTGATGTATATTCATATGTATATTCACAAATAAACAATATAATCGTGATTCAAATAACATTGTCTTAATTAGAAACTGCCATAAACACTGTAATTTATATAACAGATCATCATTTTAGTTTTTCATACCAAAAATGATTTCTTCTCTCCACATGGAGTTCTTTCTACAATTATTTACTGCCCTCCAGTGGTAATAATTAAAAATCTGTATGCTGGTGAATGTGGAATAATATTTACTTGTACCCGAAGAAGGCTTCACAGCCAAAATGTTGTTTTCTCTCTTCTCTTTTCAGTATGGAATAAACCTACTACTTGTTCCTTTGCAAACTATGCATGCTGACGCAGCTACCAACTTAGATACACTATATCACATAACCAGTTAATCTTTAAACTCTGTAGTTAAACTGACATACACTTACAATCAGTACCAGATGAGACATTTTCTCATGAAGTTGGGAAATAGAAAACTGTAAAACCAAATTTTCTTTACTCTCACATACAGTATTCTGCTTAAAACATCTTGAGCCTACAAATTTCCTGCTGAGAATAAATTCTTTTATGGTAGACGATGGTGCAATGATACTGAATGAAGGTTGGAGAGAAATGAACTTCTAATGAACAGAGCCCCCTGCTGGTCTCCTAATCTGGTTTTAGAGTAATTAAAAACACAATCAAAATTCATTTAATAGAAAAGGAATTTATGGATGCAAAAAGCAGAAAGACAGTGGAAAAAAACTCAACATGATGACACTAGGAAGCATTAAAAACACCACAAATGAGTATTTTAACCAGTAGTATTTGTTACATTTTAAGTCTTCTAGGATTCCTTTTCAACAGGTGAGTCCTCATAAACTTCTAGTTTATCATCTAAACACGTTTCTTCATAGTGTGATCTTCTGAGAATTTTATCATTGTGCTTCTTGACTTGAAATATGTCCCACCTTTCCGGAAGAAGACCTCTGTTGAACAGAAATGATGCCAGGGAAGAGCCAAGCATGATGGTGATTAAAGAAAGCAGCATTGCCAGGGTTCTGAATGGAAAATATTGGACATAGACCCCGTCAATGAGTCTACAGTAAGGGAAATGAATCACTGG